ATGTTTTGCTAGATGCGAATAGATGTCGAGTTTCAACTCTTCGGTGGAAAGAGAATGATATTTTAAAACACCTCTCAGCACAAACCCCTGACATAAATATAACAGAAAATGTATGGGAATTTCTAAAATGCAAGATTAATCCACGTTTAGATGACATGAAAAAAAGTGCATTGTGACCTCAAACGCATCGTGTCTGCCATTTTGATTTGACTACCGGTTCAGTACATCATTACATCAAAAGTCTTCCACTGTGCTTCGATCTCGAGGACAAATAACTAGATACTAAGCCTTTAAGGACGAAATTTACTTTCTATAATTTAGGACCATCTTTTATTTTTGCATTTTTTTTAATTACGTTTATAACGGCGGTCATTTTGCGATATCATTCATATTACAATTTGCCTGCAGAAATTCGACATACACCATGCAACTCTGAAAATTTGATTTAAGTTATTTTATGTTCTTTATTAACCTCTCATTGATTTAAATGCGTGCAGATTGTTCCAAAGCAGTTATTGAAAGTCGGAAGTGAAAATCAAATTTTTAAATTGAAAAAAAAACATGAAAGTGATTAAAAACGGATTAAATAACTTCTTCTCTAGAATTTTTATAAACTTTACTCCTACTTGATTGTACTTGAAGCTGAATGAGGATCGGAGACTGCGTCCCCATCTCCGGAACCCAGAGTCACGGATTTACAAAAGGGCCAACGTGATTGATTACCTCGCTGTCATTAAGTTTTAAAAATTTGTCTCTTTACCATTTAATGTTTTTGTATTTTCATGATTTGATAGTTAATTCGTGCAACAGAGACCAATAAATGTTGGGGTGATGGATTTTTTTTCCTTTTCACAGTAAATTCAGCTTTAACATTTTATTCATCAATATTTTATCCATGTTCGCAAACATTTGCAGTTTCTCATTATATTCTCAGTATATTTAATGATGTAACTCATTTGTTAAATGAATATGCTTGAAAATGAAAAATCAATCTTTTTCCATAGATTAAGATGATTAATTATTATATTGCAGTAAAAATTATACGTCTGGGAATTCTTAAAAATTTGCAATTTGTCACCATACGTGTATTGATAGAGTGTAAAAAGTGAAAATAATGAACAGTGATAAATGTCTAAAAAAAAATCTATAAACAGCTATTTGAAGAGAATATAAAACACGGTCCACTGGGAATTCCAAAGGTTGGATCAGGTGCCAAGGAGAAGGAAGCGTCCCCTATATGTGAACAGAAGGATGGAAGAGATTCCCAGTTTCATTATAGATACAGTAACATGGATGGTTTTAAAACCAAACAACTGCAACCCCACAACTGGAAAGGTCCAAGCAGCCTTTCAATAAAAAGTTCTTGCTAAATTGACAGAAGAAAAAATATTCTGAAGAAAATGTAACAATAACCCCCCACCACCACCCCCTTATTCTTATACTTGGTTTCTGAAGAGTATATTGCTCTTTTGTTTTATATACTATATGTATTTCTGGCTAGCTAGTCAGCTCTGTCCAATTTTACAAAATCATATGCAATGCAAAAATAATCTAATTGTTTCTAAAAGTACGATCTAATATTTTGTTTCTTGCTTACTGTGTACACATTATCTTATTGAGCTTAGAATAAAGAATGGCTTTATTCACAGCTAGTATCGATCTTTTGTGGCTACAATATGGGAAAATAAAGACAAAACATACTTCAGAAACATAATTCAGGGTCAAACAAAGTAGGGCTTTCACTAACACAAGGAAAAGAAATTGGAACTGAAAGATAATATAAGTTATTTCTTAAACTATGTTAAAAGAAGTTAAAATATTCGATGGAGCGTTATTCAAATTTTACATTGTTAACAAAATGCTGCTTTAAATTCATTTTTCATATTCAATCTATTATGCGCATGTGAATAAGCTGTTATACATGTGATTTCAAACTTTTTACAAGTACACATGTATTCCTTTTGTATCACTGGACTTCTTGCAAAATATATAACTTTTGTAATTGTAAAATAGAAAGTCCATGCATACCATTGACAGACACAAATAATACACCCAATTATCTCACAACCAAGAATGCTACACACTTATAAAGGCGACGTTTGATGACGTTACGGCGCATTGGAGAACAGTTCAGTTTCATTAGGATGTAGTGATGACGCCCTTGGATACTTTAAATGACAATAAAAATATCACTATATCCTTAATTTTTTAACTGAAATAGGATCATTCTAAGCTGAAGCTTTTTGACCGAATTCCCGGTAAGATCAAACCACAAGGACAAAAACAGATATGGGCAAAAGGGGAAGACGTTGTTACTGTCACTGTTGACCGTCGATGTAAGATTGCCTATTTTGTTGAATGATAGTGAGAGTACTGCCCATAACTAGCTAATAAATCTTCAGAAGGTTCTATGTGTGTGCGAGATTGGTGCCTGGAGGGGAAAAGGGAAACTCGAGAAAGTGCAAAAATGAGATCCCCGAGTTTATGGGGGCTTATCGAACTTTTTAGCAAAGAAAAATCTTGACATTGCTTTAGACACTTTGACGTTATCGCCCATTGCGCCGTAAGGCTAGCGCTATGCCAAACATACATGTAATATGAAATATCATTGATAATGTATTTATTTGAAATTTGCTACGTATATTGATTAAATATATACTGAAGAGAAGTGAAATTTTTAGAACGCAGTGATGATAATTTGTCACTCTAGACAAAATATCTATGAATTCAATGGACAACTCCTATATACGTTAATCCTTGCTATATAATCTTAAACATCCTTCGAAAAACAAGAAAATGACAAATATAGACTGTCTGGTACTTCACAATACTTATTTGCAAGTATTTGCGTGTTGTTGTAATCAAGGCCAGTTTATGTGAATTCAATAGCTCATTAATATAGTTGACAAGTAGGGTAAACGACAGCGCCTTGTTGTAATTGGTCAATTGATGATATTATCGGGCACAGTAAGAAGGAATGAATTTATTGTTTAATGTAAAATTAAATAGAAATAATTAAAATCAATGTCTAATTGCTCATTTGATGTGACCTTACTTTCAACAAATGGTCCTCCTTTTTTCTAGATCTTCAGGTTGTTGATCTATATTATCTCATTTATACCGTTGAGTAAGCTCTCTGTGTACGAAAATGGACGACTGAAGCAAAATCCCTTCAGAGTTTACATGTTAAGAGTTGCCATGCTTGAAAAATGATTTTTGTTATGAAACATGGCTTTTGCCAGTTATCAGCATATTGGTTTTGAATATGTTTGAACATAACAATCGATTTTGTTTTCTTGTTGGTGTTTACCGTTATATTTGCCTCACATCAGGAAAAAAAATTCATGCATAAAGATTTTAAATAAATCTATTTCATTCTGAATAAAAGTCAGCATCAATTCAATATTAAATACATGAACTTAAAGAAATCTAGTGAGAGCATTCCCATGTATCCGTAATGGGAGGTCTAATCGTTATCATAATATTTTGTTCTGTAAAGTGTCTACTATTAATTTAATTTTCATAAGAAATTTAATTGTTTGAAAATATTTGCTTTAGAAAGTAGCAATATATTAATCAAGTCAGAAAGTTTAGAAATGAAATGAAATGCATTTTATTTTTTATCCTTATGTTCTCTCACCAAACATAATTTTCCTGCACGTTTTATAAATTATTGTACATGCATAATCATTTTTCGGATAATTATATTGAGTTTCAGCTTCAAAATCTGATTAAAAACTAAAAAAAAAAAAAAGAGTATACAGATTATATTGATGAACTTATTGAACTATTTAAACTGATCTCCTGATAAACTTCTTTTCTTTAAGAAGTTCTTCTCCAAAAATTCTTCTTACATTAAGAATTAAGGAGGTTGTCTAGAAAGAAATAATGACATGAATTTAAGCCAAGGAATAAAAGTGTTTCTTTCAGCTTCATTAAGATTATCAATTTTTCAAGCCAAACTTCTTTACAGAAATCTATTTCCCCTTTGACATACTTCTTTTACATTTATTTTATTTTTGATGATACAATCATATTGAACATTACGATATGCAATTTATTTAGCACACACTTTTTATAGAACACCTGCTGTTTAAAGCCTGAAGATTTAGCAATTCAAAGTACCTGTTGCACAAACAGTTTTAAGTGTTCTATGCCAAAAGATCAAGATTTAACTTTATTAACATTCTCTTTTACTACGAGCAGTATGGTATTCTATCAATTTTATTTTTCATAACCGATAGCATTGAAATATATTCCTTGATTTTTACGAATAATGAGTGTTAGAAAGAGAAAATGATAATAGTTTTCAACAGAGAAACTATAACATTGAACTATGGAAAGAACCAAAAACGGAAAATAGTCTTACTCAAACGAACTGGTTGGTCATAGTTAGAAAAATTACATTGAAATACATTTAAAAATGCTATGAAATGTTGAGAGGTATTGGGCAATAAAAATCTAAATCTGTTTTTTTTTAATTTGGAACAAATGGATACAATTGAGCAGATGAGCATCAATTTCGACACTCCATAGAGCATTGATGATCCTATCACTTGTCATTGCTTAAAGTCTTGGGTATAAATACGTTGTTACATGTACATAGATATTTTTCTATACTGTTTCTGCAAGACGCTGCAGATATATAATTTACGTTGATACTGTTATTGCTTGAATTAGACGCAATCGCAGTTTCTGTTGGAAAAGACTAAAATATAAGATGAATTTGCCCTAAATTAATGAACTTTTTATCGAACTTTGATATAGATATTCAGGAAACATGGATTTGTAACAATTACGCATCGAGATTTTAAACTGAAAAATGCAAGCCATGCTATTATTATACAGATAACCTTTCTTCAGAAATTTATCATGCATATAATTGACAAATTGATATGATAGTAATTTAATACTCACAGTGTGGTCAACAGATTTAAATGACATTACATGGTGCTTTATTTAATTAAAGTTCGTAAGTACATTTATACAAATCTATTTTTCAGACCTAATTCTTTAGTAAGCTTAACAAATGTTTTTATTTTGGTATCTCTCTACTACAGCTACGTAAATAAAAAATAAGCGCAGTAGTTTCTGCTGTTTTATTTTCATAGCATTGGCTTCGTGGGTGCATTGCTTTCGCATATTTTGAAGATCCGTCGTGTTTTTGCAAGGTGTAAGGATGACATCGCATTCAGAAATCTTACATATGGTCGCCTGGGTTTTGTTTACTTTGAAATTCAGCATTGATTGCTCTGTCAATCAAGCCAGATCCTGACATTGGAGATTGGTCGAAGCAGCCAATATAACTCAGTTTCTGATGGCTTTGAGCTTTAACGAGAACAGATTCACTCCACTTCTCTCTGGATAACCTAGTCTTGAAATTTCGGATCTATTTTTCTGTCGGTAAGTATATAATGAATGACCATCAATTAAAATTTGAAGACAATAATATTTTATGTAATATCTTTTTTTCATATACTAAATTTTGCTCAAAAAATTATAATACTTGCGTTTCAACAAGATAAAATGTTGTGTGAAATCACTTATTTTCATGGGGATAATTTTCGATCTCCTACAGGTATGGAGCGACCCTCATGTTTTTGACCACCACGAAATTTTAACAGTCATATGAATTACTACAAAACAGTTTCCAGCCACGAAATCAAATCCCCAATATATTTTTGTCAAACCTCGAAAATTTGACCCCAAGAAAATATATGATTTTACTGAACATCAGTCAAGATATATTTTTATTTATTTATTCATTTAATAAGATACGTTTACATTGAACCGAAATGCTAAGGGAACATGTTTTATGTCTTGAAAAGCACAAGGAAATTTTTTTAACTGTTTTAAATAGAATTCTAGTTAATTTTCATCATTTAATTGTTTCTTGAGTTTCTACTGAATTAAAAACGTCGAGGCTTGTGTCGTTGTGATAAAAAAAGAAGAAAAGACCAGATTAGCAAAGTTTTAATTCCATGCTTTCAATGACAATCTAAGAATATAATGTCTCTCTCTCTCTCTCTCTCTCTCTCTCTCTCTATCCCTGAGGGAGGGATACTTTCCTTCTTTTCCAAGTTTTTAATTATTTTGCTTCTGGAGATTCCCAGAACAATACAACAGTGATGTGAAAACCCAGCTGAAACTTCTGCCCAAACTCCATAAACTAATTAATTTTCATAGCAATATTTCCTGAACTTTTGAATCACAATGCCTAGGGAACAAGATATACATTTAAATTTCTAGGGGACAATTAATTAAAGTTATATCTATAGAATCAGCTTTCACTGAATAAAAAAAAGATCTATCTATATTAATATTCTCGACTCCTATCAGTCATAGCGCATTAGCTGACTGTACTTGGAGAGTGTATATATCCCAGTCTGAGTTCATCATTTCCCCTGTGTTCTCCAACTTTCAGGCGTAGATTTCTCCCTACAGTTTAGTAGTGCCGTATATTACACTTATGAAACTTGCACTCCCTCGTGCCCATGACGAGAAACAGAAAACTCCAATGAAATTAGCTCTGATTTGTATTCCAGTGTATCCCCTTAATGGAACCGAACACAAAAGACCAAAAGCCAATGCATCTCTCAATTTTTATGGTTTGCATATTGGACTAGTGTTAAAACTCTTTCCAATTAAGGAAATGTGGCGTTTTTTGCGACATACATTTGTTCCATTTGCTGTTTGGTTCTTTTTTCTTTTGTTATTCTTGTTTTTATGTTATATCGTTTGACAACAGCTAAAGCAGGACAGCTTCAGGAAAATGTCATTCTTACAGTAAGTCTTGATTCAGCCCTCGTCCAACTAAGTGGATTTTCACACTGTTCTCCATTATTTATTTAATTACAATGCTATCATTTCATCATGTTGCATATGTCTCATCCCTTTCTTAAAAAAATATTCAAAAAGGCCTAGACAAGGAAAATTAATATCTTATACACATCAAGGATGCTTTTTACATTAAATAACTATAATAACGGTACAGTAATTTGGCAGATGACGTTAAAGAAATCTGTCGACTTATGAATTACTGGAAAAATATTGCATGCCTCTGACTAAATAAATAACTAAATAGAACAATTGATAAACACTGTTTGGAACCGTCAAAGTCAGATTCAAGATTGTTTAGCCGTCATAAATTGTTTTTTTAAACTTCTGTCACAAACATTAATGCACCAATTATACGAGAGTCATTCAAAAGTTCGTGGACTTTTGCCATACCTTTATACCCCCGCTCGAAAAGTGGGGGGCATATAATGATCGGGATGCCCTTCAATATGTCTGTTACGCTTTAGGGTACCCATCTCTTATGCACAACTCCTCTTATCCCACTGAATGAAATTAAATGAAACTTTCACAGAATATTTGTTACATAGTGCCATTGTGTACCTCCTATTTTACTTTTTGATCCCACAGATATTTTGGGTTTAACATAAGAAAGCATGGACGCTGTCATTCTATATAATACTGAAGGGTACCCATCTTTTTTTCCCGCAATTCCTCTTTTACAGCTGTTGAAAATTTAATCATACTTTCTCAGATTCTTTACTGCATAATACCATTATGCACCGCCTATTTTACTTTTTGATCTGATATTTATTTAGAGTTTACCCAAGCAAAACATGGAATTTGTCGTTAAAAAAATCATATGGGAGGTGGGGAGTATCATTTAGTAAACTCACTGCTCACAGCACCTCTAGTTTCTTTAAAGTTGGAGGTACCCATCGGTTTTCTGCAACTCCTCCTATACTACCGATTAAAATTGAAAGATATTTTCATGGATTCTTTATTACATAATGACACTGTGAATCTCCTATTTTACTTTTTGACCTGACACTTACTAGTATTTCGGGTCTCCGAGAGCAAAACATGCACTTTGCCATTATAATCATATGGAAGGCTGGGGGTATCATTTAGTGAGTTCAGTGCTCACAGTACCTCTAATCTTTATTTAACGTCAGAGTGCAATTAAATTTGGTACACATATTTTAATAAAATAAATATGAAGAGGAGGAATATTGTCAACGTATTTTTGAATGACCCACGTAATTTGGCAATACTTGGGATGTACAGGTATACATACTTTACCCTTGCAACACAATAGTACTTGCAATTACATGTAAGTAATTATAATAACGTGCATAACAACAACTGCACAACATACATGTATCTTACGTATCTATAATATTTTATTTCATAACCTCACTGATAGTCCAAGGCAAAATAGCAGCTCTAGCTGTTTGTGTCCTAAATTCAAAATAGAAAACATGCGTAAAAAATTGTTATGAATTTAACAAATGACGAATAATGTAAAAAAAAAAATAATAATAATAATAATAAGGTATAGAAACCAAATGATGAAAAATCTTTGTGACATTGATATTTTCTTAGAATTTGTCTCAAAAGAGATGTACTTCACTCAAACTGAGACGCCATCACATACCGGTGGAGGTCTATAATTAGACCTGTGTTTGGCACTCGTTGCCTTGTAGAAATGAGTGATCTTTTCGTACTAACGTCTACTGCGACACGGATATTCGGTTTTTACAGTCTCGCGATAAAATGTGCAAACGCTTCAACCACTGCGCCACGCTGCGACTCATTAGCTATATTGTAAAAGTCGCAAAAAAACCTTCAATTATTGAAACTCTTCATCTGTAGGGGGAATAGGAAAATAAAGTTCAAAAGTACGTTGCGTATGTCCTTCAATAGGTTAAATGGATTCAATGTGATTTACCAGCGGCATTTTCGCGTTTAACGAAGTTAAAAACGAGTTACGTGGCCGAGTTTTGCACTGACGTTAATGTGCCACTGGCATAATAAAAAAAGTAGAATTTGTTTTCTATTAAATTTGTACGTTTATTTCAAAAAACAGAATAGAGATTAGAATGAAATTAAGTCAGACATCCTGATTGGTACATCAAAAAGATTTTATTTTTAAAAAATCATCCTGTTTATGTTAGATTGAAACAGATGAATACTTATTTTTTCTTAAAGATAATGTTCTTATTTTCAGAGATGAATATTACAACCCAGATAACAACTATATTCAACGTCACGTCTTCATTGTGTATGATGACGTCATCTTCAATTAACAATTCTGGCAACAGTTCATGTTCAGACAATAAACCCATCGACTGCGGACCATCTCACAATTCCTTCACAGAATATGACGAGTATATTGCGGCCCTGTATATCAACAAAAATTATCTGTACTTTATCGTGGGATTGGGCATCCCTGGAAATATCGCAGCCATTATTACAGTCTGCAAAATGAAACCTCTTACTTCCTCTTCCGTTTTTATGATCGCATTGGCAACAATGGATTCTTTTAATCTCATTATAAAAGAACTTTATTATCAGCTAACTTACTTTGACATTCAGATGTTTGACATAGGGTGTCAACTGATGATTTTTCTTGGCACGTTTGCAATGCATTACGCAAACTGGATTCTAGTGGCAATGACTGCCGAAAGGTTTATAGCCATAAAATTTCCAATGAAGGTGCAAGAAATATGCACCAAGACGAAAGTTGTCATTGTCCTTGTTGTGCTGGGTCTTGTATTGGCAAGCCTCAACTCTCATTTCTTTGCAACAAAGCGGGAAGGATACACGGCCGTTAGGAAATACACCTGTATGAGTAAAACTGACTACGATCGTTTTTATACGAAGATCTGGTATTGGGTAGATGGCGTTGTGTATGCCATGGCTCCGTTTTGTTTATTAACCATTCTGAATTTCCTCATCATCGCTGGCATAAGAGATTCTGTTAAGAAACAAAAGGACTTGACCAATCTTCAGCAGAAACAGTCTAAGCAACACACACAGATCACCGTCATGTTGGTAACCGTATCTGTGGTTTTTACTATCTTAACAATGCCCAACTGTATCTTCTTCATCTACGAAGGTTACTGGGACTTCCAAGCTAGTTGTTACGAGACGGCATTGTATCATCTGATTTATCAGATCGTTTTTGTTCTTTCGGATCTGAATCACGCAGTAAATTTCTATTTCTATTTTCTCAGCGGAAAGAAATTCCGGAAACATTTTCTCAGACTGATATGCTGTTGTTCAAAGACGAGATTTCATGGAACAACTGCGACAACAATTACAAGATCATCTAGATATCACATGTCCGTCACTTCTACACCCAGCAGCCATTCTTTAGTCGATCATGACGCTGCATACAATCCTGGCATTAAAACTAGTAACAGATGGTAAAGAATTAAGTGTTTTTCCCCGACTGATCATTATATAGTATTCTTTTCTTATGTATAAGTAAAGGCTGATTTGAACAAATTTGTTATGAATGTATATTATGCAAGATTTCCTGTTATTGACATTCCGACTTTATTGTTGATGTGATTAAAGAGATCACCCATGTAGTAAAGTAATATGAATTAAGCGCAATATATGTAACTCATCAATATTATATTTACATGTTCGAAATGATTGCCCAGCATGAATTGATGATTTTTTCTCTTTGTTTGACTGTCACAAAACAAAAACTATAAAGGAAGTCAGGGCTTTGGAAGTAGGGCTTTTATTTACAAAAGAACTAAAGACTAGGATGAAAAATGAATATTTTTATTATTTTTATTTATTTGAAAATGGTTATTAAACATAACTTTTAAAAGAATTTTGAAAAGTTATTTTCTGCAGAAATTTCAACAAATTTCGCATGAGTTGAAAGGGCCCCAGATATCATGCGCATGGCTGCTTTAAATGGATCAAGGTTTTTATAAGATATAAAGACGTTGATCTTTTCCAATAGGAAAATATTATAGACATTGATCTTTTTCAAGAAAATATATAGACGTTGATCTTTTCCCATAAGAAATTACGAATTATATGAAATTGTCCTAACTGATTGTTTGAAGATCCAATCTTTGGTGATTTCGAGAATCACTGCACCCTTATCAATCAATTTACATCTCTATAAAAGTTAATTCTGTCATTGTATTGCTTCATTTAATTTCCCATATGAGCGAGTTAGCAAGACATCAATTCATATCCCACGCACCCAGCAAACCAACAATTTTGACCGTACATTAATATTCAACTAGGACATAATAATTTTGAAAAGTAATATTATGAGCAAGACGTTCTCAAATACATTATGTTAGATGTTGCGAATCTGCAACCGCTTCTCAAACGGTAAAGAAACGGTAAAGAATTTGTAAATTTGCTTTTAATTAGATTAAAGATTCTCTTTCAAATTAGAATGTAATGCAAGCTTATTTCGTAACTTGAAAAATACATGTTGAAGTTTATTGCTGACAGAAACAGAATTATGAATTTTTTGTTTAGGTCTTATAATCAGCTGGGAGACAGAAAAACATGAATATGTGATAAAGGTGCAATATAAGTAATTGAAGTTGGCCATAGAAAAAATGTTGTCATTACGTTTATTATATATTTTTGTTGTTAGATAACCATTAACATCCTTTTCTCGTAAAATATTCAAACATGAAACAATCACTTTGGTATCTTTTCTTTCCAAGGTCAATGGGATATATATCACGTCGACATGTGAATGGAAGTAACCACTACTAATTGATAATACGTCGCCAATACGTATGCATGTAAATGTAAATGTTAACTGAAAGCTACAGCAAGTGTTTTCTTTTCATCCTTTTAGGAATAAACTTTGCTTCATACGAAAACAAACATACGTTTGCTAATAACGGGACGCAATTGGTACCCATGGGAATTCCGACAAACCCATTTAGACTTATATATTTGCTCCTTTACTATATGTTTCAATACCTGTATGAGAGTTTTTAAGTATCCATATCTGATTGACACCACTTTTCGAATATTGTTGTATATAGTTTTCCAACATTTTTCAATAAGAACTATGCTTCTAGATCACGTGGGTTTTAAAGAGACAATTGAGCTCCATTTAGTAAGTCTTTTATCCTAAAAATTATCGACCATAAGGCACCAGGCTCTAATGCTGCATCTAAAAAGCCATTTTATTATTAAAACTTAATTGGTCATATATAAAACTCGTAGTCTTAAATATGATATTTTACCTGGAGCAAAGACTTTGATATTTAGTATATATGTAAATACATTTGTAAAGTTTATATTAACTTGCAGACCTTTCATACTCAAACCGGTTTTTTATTTACAAATGTTTTGAAAGCCCTCAATTTTCAACATGTCCAAATTGTCACAATGTGTTTCAGAAATAATAGAGGTATTAAACAATTCTCAATGGGATCTTGATGTTTGACCTCTTGAATTTATTAGTTTGGATTTAAAGCAAATTTTACAACAGAATTATTTACTATCTAGTAATTTTACCTTCACTCGGTGACCTCAAAATTAACATACACAGCATATTATTTACTGATTAATTTTAAGTTAAAATATAATCCTACATTTGAAAATTGTTTTTTTTTTATATGGACTAAAGGATCCAGTTATAAATGCACTAAATGAGTATTGCTAATGGCGTTTTAGTCATGTTTAGAGTCAATAGGCAAAACTAGTTACTAGTAGTCAAATGGGAGCTAAAGGTAGTTTTAAAATAGAAATAAAAATATTTTTATTATTTAAAATACGTAGGAGCATTCTTCAGGGATGGTTTGCATACTTTTTAGATATACGTATATGCACTAGTTGCACTTCTATTCATACTTTACAAATAAATAGTTTTTATAATGAATTTTGTGCTTTTGCCGAAAATAATCATTAACCAGAATAGTTAATGACAAATATAAAAAATTTTAGGTTTCTGGAGAGAAAAGTCTAAAGTTTTAGATTATCTGTCATCAGTAACTTTCGCAAACAATGTGTACTTTCTAATTCCAGAAATACCAAAAATATATAACATGGTACAACCAGGTCCCTATCCGATTGTTTGCATTAGAATAATAGCAAACTAAGCAGAAAAGTAGAACCCTTTCAAGTTTAAAGACATTCAAAAGGACGATACTATTTTAAATGCAATGTCTATAAGTTTCCTACAGATGGCTCCAACAACTCCCATCCACCTCTTCTCACATAAACACACAAACAAAAATTTTAATTGTTTGCTGTCAGCGATTTTCTTTTTCCGTAAAATTTTCGATTGGACAAGATATTATAAAGAAGAAGGTATAAAGTGAATTCCATTAACTGTGAAAAGCATGTAGAGAGATGTTTTATTCTCAAGAAAGATGCTTCATCATCATTATGTAATGAAAAGTGAAAACGTTCTTTTTTCTTGACGCGATTTAAACTTCATCTTTGCAACATAAGTCGTGCTCTATCAGTTTTCTTTCCAGTACACTATTATATCAGTGAAACGCACTCACGTCTGTTGCAGGTTGTTCATGAGATAACAAATTCAATTGAAATCCTCTGGTGAAGAAGATTCAATTATACGTGGCGTTTTTGCGAAATAATTGATTCAGCAAAAAAAATGTAAATTCTCAGACATGTGCCAGGAAATTAGTTATCAATCAGATGAACTTGTTTGGATGAATGTTAATTACAAAAACAGTTGTCAAATCCTTTGATTTTCAGTGTGTGCCAACACAAATAGTAGTGACGTAGACTGCACATTTTATTTAATTATAGAGGATTATGATTTAATCTGAAAATGTGAATACGAACAACACATTTTATATGTTTTGGGGTAATAACTAATTGTTTTTCTTTTTTTACATTAATTTATCTAATGGATAGAAGAGACATCAACTTGATAGACTGAGATAAGCAATAGATCTGCTAGGCTGTTTTCCCTTTGTTAATTTTTTCTGGGATTAAACTTACTTAAAAAGCTCTTTTTCTTGAAACAACATTCAAATTCTTACGAACACGACCTTATTTTACGTTAACAAGCAACTGAAGTATTTGTTTGTTTGTATGTTTTCAGTGATTTTCTTTTATGAATAATGTAAACAACTAAATTAAGTAGTTGAGTCACAAACACAAAAAAAGAAAAAAGAAAGAGTATATGTATTAATCTAGGCTAAAGAAAGAATACAAACAAACAAACAAGGTACAAAATAAACAAAATAGAAACATATAATAATTTCAAACGCTTACAAGGTTTTTGCCCAATTTCTCTGTAAATCGAAATATTTCGTGAAGAACCAGAAGCGAATGCGCAGTTTACACCTTGTGTCTCTGAAGGCGTGCTTAAAATGAAATAATATTTCATAATATAACAATATCCAGTTAATCAATGTTTATTATGATTAATAAATATTCCATTAATTAATCATTCATTCACGAATAAATGCAGGCATTGAACATTGTTGACGTCATAAATACGTATACATTAAAAATGCAGTAAAGTGAAATAGGAGTAATGTAGTAATGTAACAGTATGAATAAAATTTAGAAATGAAATGAAAAAAGTCCCCTCCCCCATTCTGTGATACAGGTTAATGAAAAAGTAGTTTATGTAAAAAAAAAAAAAAAAAAAAAAAAAAACAATTGCATGCTAATTAGTTTGTCCTATTCCTTAATCCTTACCCCAGGCCACCCACCAACAAAATATGATTTTCGAGATTGGAAAATTTCCTTTTTGTGCTTATTGTCAGGCTTTTTGTTTGTTTTTGTTTTGTTTTGTTTTTTTAATTTGGTAAGTTCATATTTTTCAACTCCCCCCTCCCACTTTCATAGGTGTCTTCCCACTTAGCCAAAATTCTGAAAATGTTACAGGTGACTGGTTTTGGCCAAAACCGGCTAAGTGGGAATGGTGTACAGGTAAGGGGAGGGAGAGAACAAAAGAAATTAATTACAGGTGAAATATAGTCTGTTTAAGATTAAGCACAAGAAATAGGTTAAAATTTACTTATTAAATGCTTATATTGCAATGAATGGTGTTTTTTTTTAATTTAATTTTTTAAAATTTATTGAAAAAAAATTAAGTGCCAATTTTAATATACTTTGTATCACAGATATTTTAAAAACACATGTGAATGAAAGGTACGGTATTATAAATATCTTTAAAATCTTTAATTACTGTAATCATGTGTTTGAACTTATATGCGAATAATTCTAATTATTAAATAATTTATTAAAATTAAATATCACATTAATGGAAAAACATGAAAAAGATGACACATAAATTAATATGTAAAAGTGTTTATTTTTAAACTTTTTCGAAATAAATATGCTTTTATTAAAATGTTTTGTTTGAAAGATATGTGAAAGCAAGATATTTTCTAATAGATACTCTATTTTATCATTCAAACATTTTTTTGTTCATTAAGAATTGGTTTGAGCATATTTTATTGAATAATTACTACACAAATGGTTTGGAAAACAAGTTATAACAACTTACGAGGTTCTCACCATAAAATCCATACAACTGTCAATGTTTATACATGGGAAGAAGAAAAAAAAACCTATTGATATAAGAATTAAATATAAGTTTTGCATGGACACTTTATGTATTTCTAGTAAACTATATAAATCAGATTATATTATATTTTTACCATCAATTAATTTTTTATGTTATATTTAGAGTACGAGTTTCCTACTGTATAAGAGATACAGGGCGGGGCTTGAGGCGAGAGCATAGCTCGAGCCGGGCCCCGCCCTGTATCTCTGATTTAGTATTCTAAATGACTTGTGACATGACCTTTCTAATGACCTCATCAATTTACATTCGTATTTGAAATATCTCTCATTTTTTAGCAGAAAGTTGATTTAGTATCCCATTAAGCATTCGCAACTGAAATGCCGAGTGAGGTGGAGGTGCAGGTTTTATTTTAAAAATAATTATTTAGGGGATTCCAAAAAATTAATAGAATATTTTTTTTATCTATTCAGCTCTTGCTGACAAAAGTTTAAGCTACGAATTAATGCAAAACATTTTTATATATAAGAATCGTATTTTGAAACAAAAATGCTTAGGGGATATCGTATTCTGAGAGAAATCTCCGACAATATCCTCCACCTGTCATCATATACAAATTTGAAATAAAGTGATGAAAGGAAGGGGGGGGTATTTTACCTTCATGTTTTTAATAAAATGTAGAGTAACCAAAGGGGGATCCCGTACCTTTTCGCTTTTGTTAATTATTTTTTCCAATCGTATATACATACTCTTTTTAATCTATCAACAAGTAACGATTTCACGCACATAGTGTCTTGGTTGATTATAAACCTACCCCCCAAAATACGATTTTCCATTTTATTTTTTTTGGGGGGGGGGGGGGTTCAAAGTAATCGTTTTTAAACTGCCCCACTTCCTATTTTTTTTGAATCCCACACTCATAAGTTTATTTTGTAAAATTTTATTCTAAGTAAAATATCAAATTTAGAGTAATTACAACAGTGCTATCATGCGAATTGAACGATTGTTGTGTCTGAATATGGATACAGCTTTCCATCATCGCTGAAAATAAACCGTACTGTATCTTTGATATTTTGCAGATACAGTACAGTTTCTGATCATTTGCATAAGAAACGCCCACAAAAAGTGTTCTGTATCGCAGTTACAGTATGCTTGACTTCAAAGGAAAACTCGCCGGGTCATGTCACAAAGTACATGTAATTCCTGTTTAGTACAAATATTTCTGCAAAAGAACTTAAACTCAATTCTTTTTCTTTTCATTCTGAGTATAATCTCTTTGTCAGAAAGATTTAATTAAGTGATGATCCAAATACATTCAACTGTATTACCCACCCACCCCAGGTCATCCCGTTCCTAAGATCATGTATCAAGGTACACTCATGATTAATGTCCTGAGCTCCCACTGGGGATTTGTTCTGGTCTTGAAGTGCTTCCCAAAGTCGCCTTAAAGAATTTTGAATCCGCCACTACCATTTTTAGAAACAACTGACGGAACTGGACGAGTTTTGCCGATCTATTTGCAGCATGTCCAATCAGATAAGCTGTGTCGTTACAACCAATCAATGACACCGAAACAAATACTATTTTGTTTGTCACGTTTGAGATCACGTTAGTTCAGTTGCGTAACCAAAACTTTGACTAGAAGACATAAAGATTGACTGAACAATAGCGTGAGTATATATTTCTGTGAAGAGATTTTACAGAAAAAATGGAAATTTGTTGTATAACGTAAACGTTTTTTATAAAAATGAGCAGAGTACATGTATCAAATATAGCTTTAACTTTGTTGTCTGGGTAGGTCTATCCTATCCAAGGCTCTTCTCATATAATCACTGTAATAAACGTTTGTAAATTGCGCCTATATAAATAAAGCTGACCAGTAAGCCTAAGCCTTTTTAGCCCACATAAGAAATACATGTAGTGCGGCAATTATTGGAAAAAATGGTCGACAAACTAACTTTAATTTTTCATACTATGATAAATCTAGAATTTGTAATAATATCTACAGGAAATGATGCTTATAGGATGCTTTCATATCCTTTATCATTTACAACCTAGAAGTTGACTAATTCCAATGCATTTGATTCTATATTTACACGTGATTCTGCACGTGAGTCACATATTTGTTCATGTAAACAAAGTAATAAAATTAGGTCATTCCTCTTATATATACTAGTCTTACCAGGCCTTCTTTGTATTATTTAGAGAAGGAGACGGGTTCTGTATCGTAGATACAAATTCGGGGGTGGACGTTTTATTTACCCAACAGGTAAATCACTTAACTACAAATAGATTCCCAAGCCCCTTGAAGTCTTCAGGATATAAGACATTGACTTAATTATTGTTTCCTTTAACTTTTAAAATTCTTCTGTGAATGTGATAATATAGAAAGCCAAGGGCGGATTCAGGTCATTGATTTTTTTTTTACAAGTGTCATCTTATCATTTTGTTGCATTGAATGATTGATAAGACTCTAATAAACATAAACCCTTTGTTTGTACAACTGTGAAATATACATCCGTAACAGGAAATCACTTTCCGCTTGAACGCACACAACACACAGGTAATCAACAGAGAGGGTGCCTCAGAGATTGGGTAATCCGTGCATCTAGTGAAGTCACAATGTAATCAGGTACCAACAACAGAAAACTGCAAAGTTACGGTGCTGCTCAGTAATATTCTTTTTTTTACAAAACCAGGTTGGCTTAGCAAACCCCTCTAGTTTTGACAGATTCTCCAGTTTATGTAGATTTTTTCTTCAATTAAGACAGTTTGAAATTTCATTAATTGTACACATGTGTTTATATTCCAAATCATATTGACAGTATATACTCAAGTAAGTTGAAAAGCACAAGTTAGGGATTCTGAAAAGAATTCAATTTTTAATTTTTTTAGTGTTTAAAAATTTGGTATATTAGTTGTATCTTGGAATTAAGTCAGCTTGACATAGGGCTAAATTAATTGTAGGTGCATTTAAAGTAAACTACGACAACTTGAAGTCAACTGCTTGCATTCCTAAAATTGTCAGATTTAATATTTTTTTAAAGCAAAGTCTTAAGTCTTGTGTTAAAGTTAAATTAAATTGAAAACATTTTATTAAAAATTTGTGATGATCGGTCTTTAAAAAAGCTACAAAAAGTACCCCCCAAAATGCTGGGAAATGCACTATTTAGAACCATTTAAAACAAAATTTTCCCGAACCCCCACCTACCACCCTCCCCCTTCGGCCCTTTCGATGAACTTCTGGATCCGCCACTGAAAGCCCATCTTCTCATGATCTAGCTACCACTGGTGATCATGGTGAGCAGATAAAATCTTTTCCTTCACTGTCATACACATGTAATTACGACATCTCATTCATCCAAACTGTGACAAGAAAGAAGTAAAGCTGGACAGTGGGAATTGAAAGGGGACCCTGGCTGTCATGCATCAACTCAGTTAGCGTACTGTATGATAAATCTAATATCCAGTCTGATATAAAACACTAAAATTACTGAACATTTTACATTGTAGTAAGATATGCATTCACTAAACATTTTATTAATATTCCTTTAATACAATAATGTATGTAGCAAAATAGAAAAAAAAGATTAGTTAATTTAACAAACACCAGAAGTACCCTGGTCCAGTACATACATGTAGGCCTATAGATTTTAATGTATGATGTCTATTGAAGAATTTCCCATAATTCCATAAAAGGTTGCTTTTTATGACCAGGGTTCTAGTCCTTCAATTGATGTGAGAGCCCTGTGAATACACACAATAAGCAAACAAATCTTTTGTTACTTCACAGCATGAAACATTTTTATGATTGATACCTTTAGATGCTGATTGCAGTCATTCTTACTGTCTCTGTCATTTTGAGGATCACTCGACCAACCTATATACTATATATCAAGTTAACAGCATGTACAACTGTATATGTAAGCTAATCAGGAGCAACGAAAGGCAGAACAGCAAGTTACTGTCTCCAACATATACATTCATGTCAATCATAAGTCATTAGACCTTGAAACGCCAAGGAAGCAACACAAAACCTCTTTACTTTTGAGAAGTCAGTCTGGCAGTATTCAAATCATTGTGACACTGTCAACCATAGATGAATTTGAGTCCATTTATTAATATTTTAAAATACATTTAGCTCTGCTGTGCTTAAGTTTGCTTCAGTTTTGTTAAAAGATGTCTATCCAGATTTCACAAACATGTAGTCATGTAAATGGTATACATGTATAAAAGAAAGCTGTTGCCTCTTAGATTTTATACATTTTCTGCTACAGTTGTATACTTACATTATTATTATTTTTCACCAGTACAGATCAAATATGGGTGAACACAGGAAGGGCTGGATATTTCTGATCCTGCTGACATGCTTTGTGTGGATTGTGATGGTCACATTCAATGCCCTGGCTGGTGGTGAAGGACAAAAGCTAGGTAAGCTTTAATAGCATCCTTTATTAAGGGCATTGTATCACTATTACAGGTTATTAAAAATATTAGCCAATAGATTCTAAAATAAATATAAAGGTAAGACTGTTAATTAACTTTAATTTCCTTCTGAGAAATATCCGGAAAATTAACTTTGCAACTTTGTTTCACTTGCATAAATGTGGCTTTTAAAAAGTAAAATTAATTATTTATGAAGAAATTTTCTTAAGTCACTTTAATTTACAGTCTCTCATGGAATTTAAACTAAATAATGAAGTGATACATTTTAAATAAATGATGATTTACAGTATTCAGTGATTTTCATCCAAGATGCAGCATAATATTCATTAAAATAATTTTCTTTTAAAATTACTTGTATATTTTACATAACTTATAAGTAAATATAAAGTTTAGCCCCTAAATTACTTTTTTGCAAGGTACCAGTAATGCAATAACATGCAAGTGCCAAATAACCTTTATTTTCTTTTCCATTTTCCAGGCATATTCAAAAACAGCACTGGAGATATCTCAGATGTCTTCAACCTCCAGATAACACCAGCTGGGTGGACATTCAGCATCTGGGGCGTTATATATACCTGGCAAGCTCTATGGCTGGTGTATGCCTTATCTACAATTTGTCGTAAGACTTCGCAGGGTAACTACATCTACACACTCCCCGTCATGCCTCCGGTGATCTACGTAGTGTACATCTTCAACAACCTCAGTAATGTTGCCTGGCTGTTTGTGTGGGACAGACAAGAGATTATCGCCTCCTTAGTGGTCATTGCCTTGACACCCCTTACATTGTATGTCTGCTTGTATTTCTCTTTCACAAGGCTGTATCGTAACCTTGGCCTTCTTACCAAACAATTTGCCACCAAGGACATCTGGTTGATCAGATTTCTGGTTCAGAATGGGCTGGCTATATATGCTACTTGGACCACTGTGGCAACACTTTTGAATGTTGCCATGGTGATGATCTATAAAGGGGGTGTAGATAATGCCTTGGCCTGCACCATAATTCTGGGTGTTCTGTCATTTGTTATCTTGCTCTGGTTTGTCCTAGATAATTTTGTATTTGATAAATACACAAGGTACACTTTCACACCAAACATGGTCTTTGTGGTGGCATTGGCTGGTTCTATCTCCAAAAATTACAACATAGACACCATGGAGACAAACTCCATCTTTTTGGTTGTCATGGAGAGTGTTGCAAGCCTTTTGTTGCTGCTAAAGTTGCTTATCTTGATTTACAGACACATTAGAACACCAATAAATCCAAATGTGGAATATGAACCCACTATTTAAGTTGTGAAAAAAAGCACAACACTTCAAGTCATAATGTTTGTTCAGTTTTAAGTTCAGTTTAATTTCATTCAATTTAGAGTTGCAATCCAACAACTATTTGTTATCCAAGACAGTGCCTTTTGATTCAGTAGAAATTCCAAGTATAGTTTTCTATCAAAACATTATTCATAACTTTATGTAAATTTTCATGTTTTATATGTGATTAAGATACTGAATCATATCATTTTATGCTGAAAATGGATTTGTAAATATACACGTGTCCATCAACAAACATTGAACAAAAAATTCACACACTTTCAGTGACTTTTTGCTTGCAAAAAAGTAATTTGATCAAGGTTCATAATTCTTCATAGAAAACTAGGAAAATTTGAAAATGTGACTTTCTTTTTAATGAAGAGATAGGTATGGGTGTCATAAATTTTTTGGTTTGATAGAAATAAATATATTAAAATTTTTATCAGTGCCAAATTAAACGAGACTTCCTATGTTTTTGTTACATATTTTTTAAAATGTGCCTTATTTTTTGTTATAATAATGTTCTGTAATGTTTGAAGAATATATTTATACTTTGATGGAGAAATTTAAATTTTATAAATATTTTTTCTTCAACATGCCAAGGGTACCAGCATTATGCAATACACAATTATACTTGTTTTTTTGAAAACATTTATTTATTTTCAAAGTCAAAAATGGTGCTATAACTACACCAAATCAAATCATGTACGTCTTGTCAGGTTACATGAACTATGAATACTAGGAAAGCTTACAAATTCATTGGAACTGATTTGTAAGATTACTCTGTCTTTAACAGCAAAACCCCCCAGGAACAAAAATCTTTTTTTTTAGTTTTTCATGTAACTTAAGATCTGGAGTAGTTATCATGTTTATATTTTCACTACCTCATTTTGTCATTGTTTGTAAAAAGCATTTTTTTTAAATTTGTGATATGATTATTGTCTAACATCAAAAGCTAACTGAGGATTTGTACATAAATATATACCTTTTTTACAGTATGTCCTACTTTAGTATATATTTTGACAGTGTAAGACCTCAATCTAGTTACATCTTTTGCATTAAATTGTATATATGTATATACTATTTTTTTTTTCTGTGAAAATCATTCTTTTGAACGAGTTCTCCCTGTTATACACTTGTGTATGTGTTACTTATTTACATGTAGTTGTGATTACATCTGTACCACATCTGTTTCAAATCACATAAGAACAGAAAACATTCAAATTTATATTCATATATTTCCATAATGTTCAATTTATTTGTCTATATATGACTAGGTCACATTATATTTAGGTAAATAAATGATAACACAAAATGACATTCAAGTGTTTTAATTTGAATTTAAAAACTAACCAGTGTACAATTATTGATAAGCATACTAGCAATGCTGGTGGTCATGAAAATATAACAATTTGATACCCGTAAACGTATACACTATCATGCTCACATATAGCAACAACAAACAACTGTTGCAAACAAATCATTCATACAATGACAAAATATGAATTGAAAATAAGTCTTTGAAAAGAGAAAAAAAATGGTCCACTAAATAAAATTAGTAATTTCATTCATAATCTGGCTTAGGAATGAATGGAGCCCCTGAATTTCTAGGTTTGGGTAGTGGGGGAGGGGCCTGAGAGGGTGTTGGGTCAAACATGGAAGGTCTAAAACTCCTCCTTCTGTCAAACTCCTCGGGCTCATCGGTGCTGCTTTCAAAACCCACGCTACTGTAAAATATAAGTTTTTGACGTTTCATGGGTGTATTATTCAATCTTCTAAACTCTTTGAAGTAAATGTAAGGTGAAAAAAAACCCTCGTAAACACAAAAACTTATTAACATTGAATATGGATTTATTAATCTACTGTAAAAATTAAGGTTTAGATAATATAAAGATTTCTTTTGGTGTACTAAGATTTTTGTAAAAATTTAAAAAGGCCGATGATATTTTTTGTTTAACGTCCCTCTTGAGAAATTTTCACTCTTACACAGACACCACTTGCTGCTGGTGGGCTGCAAAATATATACCTACATCATAGTACATGCAAAAACGGCATTCGGGGCCATCGAACAGTAAAGGTTTTAAGAGTCAACACCTACAGCGACACGGGAAATCGGTTAATATGGTCCCATCCGAAGGACCGGTCTCCACATTCAAATTATAAGGCTATTGATCGATCTTCACACTGAATTGTGTACCGATTTTCCCAAATTTTTTCCATCATGACAAGGGGCACACGACAGGGGAGCTTACTTCTCTATGGCACCTAACCCTTTCAAAAACGTACGCAGTGATGATTGTAAAGAAGATTGTTGATGTTCTTGTTTCGTTAACTTGTTTGTTAATAATTTTTTTTTCGTTTTAGAAATTGTTCGTATACTGTACTTAGAGCATGCTCTTGCGTATTGAAACCCCGAATGCAGGTGATGAGAAGACAATGCTGCATACATGTAGGTAAGAGGGTAGATAAATCACATTCATGTATAAAACTTTGTTGTTAGGTTACCATTAACGCATTTTCTGGTAAAATATCGAAATACGAAACAGATGTATCAGACTGTATGGTGCTAGTATCTTTTATTTCAAGGTCACAGGGATATATAGTTTTATTATTTTAATATATATTTGATTTTCCATGATTTTTCGATAAAAACAATTAAAGGTTGTCCTTAATACGTACCCTATTCTATAGTTGTACCGTCGTCTCTGATTCTAAAGATATAAAACACGACAATATAAAGAAAATATAGCAAAAATACCCGCAGATTAAAACAGGTACAGAACGCTACAACTCATTAAGTTGGACTGTACTTGCTTACAAAAGAGATCCAAGCGTATAGTATTTCCATTTCAAGATTTTGCGTAGAAACAATCCACATTTGTCATATAAATTATACCGATACTTACGTCGTTCGTTGAATCCAGGAATTTACCTAGTTGTGGTAGCCCCGCGCCATAACTAGGATTTAACTTTAGACCAAACATTCTGGCCTGTTCACTGCTGTCGTCATGAATATCTGAAGCTTTCTTGGCATTTAGGCGGGAACGACACCATCTAAATGAAGATTGGTGGTAATGTGTGACTACATTTGCATTTACGTTAGTATTTGAACCATTACGGATTTATTCTGTACTATCATTGTTAAATACAGACAGCTTTAATTAAACCAGGATTATGTTATCTGTATTGCCCTGCATTATTGTCAAACATTGGATTTGCAATTCCGTATTTGATATTGCAATCTACAATGTACTCAACCCATTAGACAAGAAAAAGAAATTGTAGGAGTATTGCACATAAAACCATGATGACATACCCACAAATAGCAATGCCAGTAGTTAGAATAAGAAGACACGTGACACCCAGTAGCGACCATGTGTAGGTCTGGAACTGTTTTTCTGCCGCACTGGCACCAGTCGTAGAAAGCCCACACTCAGGCTCGCCTCTTAGTGTCAAAGGTAGGCTTACAATGCTACAAAAAAGGGACTTTCTTGTAACAAAAAGTCTTTTTATTTAAAATTCAAGTAAGATATTTAAGAAATTTATTACAAGGCATCAACTTTATAAACTCTTACTAGTTTTATAGTTTAATTAACACAAAATAACATAGAGTAAATACTAGTACCCTGATTTTGCATTGACGCCTTGGTCTTTGGCCTGAACAGTCAGGTTTATTGTTTGATCACCAACGAACGTCACCTTTTTTCTGAGTGAAATTGCCCCTGTGCTGTTTATATGGAACATGTTCTATAAAACAAACAAAAAATATGTGTTGAATAAAAGCGAATACACATACTTTTATAAAGAAATGTTGTTTTAAGTGAAAAACTGATTTAAAATGTCCTTGATCTTCACTTTAATTTAAATAACTTAATTTCTTACAAAGGCATTTCCGTCCAATATGCTATAGACAACTTGACCATCTTTTCCAGAATCTACGTCAATTGCAGTCAGTTGGAAGATATGTGATCCCTCCGTCATTGTTGTCAAAGGAATATTTATAGGTTTGGAGCGCGCTGAATCATTAAACGAAATAAATTATACACAATGGATTTGAAGTAATTGTTGTAAAAAAAATTTCCTCGTTTTATTAAAACGTTATAACTTATAAGAAATTGATGGCTGACATTACGATTATGCAAATGTGTTAGTAGCATCCAGTACTTATCTACTAGTAGACGATTCCATGAAATGTTACTGCAACAAAATGAAACTGACATACCATCGTCTGAGAGATTAAAAACCGGAGGATTCTGGTTAGTATCGTTATATTTAATGGTGACGGAGACTCGAACTCTGTCGGTGCGTAGAGAGTCATTCTTATCGAAGGCTTCAACTGTTACCTATAGGGAAAAAGAATGCACGCTACATAACAATGTAAACCACACATCAGTTATAAAATAAAAATATAAATTTACGAGAAATGTTTTGTCATACAAAAATTTAATCTGGCAAAAATTTAAAGGATTTTTTTCTCTACCAAATTAAAGTAGCAATTAATTCAGAATTCTTGCTTTTACTTACTATTTCTTCAAAGTCTTTGACGGATCCAATATTCAGAGACCCATTGCTGAACAACTCTCCTGTTGTTTCGTTTATAACAATCACGCTATCATTGTAATTGCTTCCTATACTGGATTCATTAGTGATTCTGTACATAGTAAGTGCGTTGTCCCCTTCGTCTTTGTCCACAGCCAAGACCTTGCCTATATATGTTCCTTCAAAGGCTTCCTACAATCAAAACGAAAGCGTTCCTATTTTAACATATTATTCAATACTTAACACTTATCTTGTAATGTGTTTATAATCTTTATATAAAAAAGGCAGAGTGATATCAAAAGTACATTTTAGTTTTCATGCACACAGGGCCTATAAAGGATCTCTCAGAAAACAACAAATAAGGTAAAGTATTGTCTTGCAAGTCAAGATTTGATATTTTAAGAATGTTTTATTTTTAATATCGCTTCTAGAATCTTGATTTTGAGCTTGATTTCTGTTTGTTATTTTCACATTTCATTGATCTAATTCAGGATGTACACAATCGTGTAAATAGGAGCTTCGCCCCTGTTAAAATCCTATCGCTTTATTCTGCCAAAATAATAAAATACAAGCTTATCCTTTTAAAACACCGGTATTGAATGGCACCTAAACAATAAAATCCTGCCATTTCATCTTTCCTATCAGACATATGATGAGCTATCAGAGGTAAATAGATATAGGTTTACCTGGTATATTTCAAATTGATAATAATCTTCCACAAATTTGGGATCGTTGTCATTCTGGTCCAGGACTTTAATGCGGACCTCTGCCCTAGTTTGTTTCCCTCCCTCGTCCTCAGCTACCACGGTCAGACTGACCACCGGTCTAACCTCCCTGTCGTATCGAAGATTCTGGGAGGTTACATATATCTCACCTGATCTTTGTTTAATGGTGTAAAAAGATGAATCGTCATCTGCAACAGATGAATTTATAAAAGAACTTGTTGAATTCTCATTCAAATACTACTACGGATTTTAGAATTTCAGATAGCATAACTTTAGTCCATAATTCTAAAATACTGATATTTCATGAAGCAGAGTCGAGAAAATTCCTACCATGCTGGAAACTGTAAGTACAGTTGCATATTTTCGTTTCATTCTTTTCCCAATCCTCTGCTGTCACTGTTGTTAGCAACCCTGTTAATATTGTGTTTTCTTCCACTTCTACCTGATAAACGGACTGGTTGAAAAATGGGCGTCTATTTTCATCTATTATGGTTATTTTTACCTAAAATTGAGTTTTAAAAGTTTATTTTGTATACTGGTTGAAACGGAAATCTAGGTATAAATGTAGATTGCTTTAAAAATCAAAAGTATGATAATTTCAAAGTAGATCAATAGTAATATTAAAAAGTAATTGTAAATGTTTAAATTAAAACATGTTCGAACACTAATCGGTGCTTACAAGATATTTAAATCTAACACATTTGATTTTTTTATGAAATTATTTTGAGCAAAAGACTATACAATCTTCGAAATAAAAAATTTAAACTAACCGTGACATTGGTTGACAATGGCGGGTTCCCTTTGTCACTGACTATGACGTATAGCTCAGCAGAATCCACTTGAAGCTTGGACAAGTTCTTTGCAATGGAGATTTCTCCACTTGAGGAATTGATCGCAAAGAAGCTATAAGCACCACTTGTGTCGGCAAAAGCTTGAAAATATTAGAAATATGGGATCAGTGCTTGAATTTACAATTTTTAAAAAGATTTTTTTAAGTTTTGATATGAGAAATTTATATTTGAAATGTAGTGCTTCATGCAATCTCGATTTATTCAGTATTTTTGGACATAAAATACTAGTACATTCAGAAAACGATGTGTAAAATACAGTATAGATTTACCTACCGAATTCAATTAAAGCGTTATTGCCGCTATCCTTGTCAGTGGCGTTTATGAAGTCAACAATAACATGGCTGATATTGATTGAACGAAGGATTTCTATCTGAATGACGTCATCGGATTCTGGTGCGTTGTCATTGACATCCAGAAGTTCAATCACCAAAAGAGCAGTTGAGGATTTTCCTCCTATTTCACCAGTTCGAAGAAAGAAAATTAACGCTATTTTAGTTATGTTCAAAGGAAGTGAACTTGTTTTTAAGAATTTTAAACAATAAAATATATATTATAATGCATCAATTGAAATTCATGATCTCGGCCTATACAACAGCCTTTTTGGCGTACCTCCATCTCTTGCTATCAATGTACAGTTGTAATTTTTCTTCTTTTCATAATCCAGCTCCATGCCTGGGTTAACCGTCAGCGTAAAGTCATCAGCTTTAAAACAAATGCTAGTCAGTCAATTGTTTGGTAACAACTTACTATAACAAATCTCAATATAATTTACTGATGATAAATAATTATGGATGGAAAATAAATCTTACCCCTGTCTTTCTCTACTAAAACTGGACACATAGAGGGTTCTTCAATTGATAACCGTAAACCCTTAGTACCATATTGTCTGGAATCTTCATCAACGACAGAAAACTGAGGTACAGTGATCGTTTTCTTTTTGTTCTAGAAAGGAATTTGTACAGTGAAGAATTATCATAAAAACAAGTAGTTTAAGAAATAAAATTGCAAATATTTAAATAACCTTTATATAATTTTAAGCCCTAATTACTATCAGAAATAACAATAAAAAATAAGAATTGTTTCCTGGTAAAAAAAAAAAAAACCAGCAATGTGACTTTAGAAAAGTACCAGGTCTTCCGTTCTAGTTTCGTTCAAAGCTATATGATAAATAGACGCGTTGAAAATTGGTGCATTATCATTGACATCTTCAATTTCAATGCTGACTTTGGTGACAGAATTCATCTCTTCTTTGTTTGGGTTATACACCTTTAAATATATATAGATAAAGATCAGTCGTATAATGTGAAAACATATCAAAAATTAAAGCTAAAAGAAAGCATTATCAGCTCAAGTATTAAACAATATATTTTTTAAAATACTAAATATATAAGTTAGAGTAAAATATTACCTTAATGGTCAAAGAACAGACTGGTATCGTTTCATAATCAAGTTCCCCGTTGAGGTAGATATCTTTAGTATTCCTTAACTGGAATACACCGCCACATTCTGCAATGAAGAGTACCATTTTTAGAATTAAATGTCGTTACGTACTATTCATGGTATTATTTCATCTTGCAATGACCAAATATATTTTTTATTCTTTTTAAATTTTTTTCAAAAAGGTACCAATGTTTTTTTCCGAAAATACTATTATTTTTGTTAAAAACAACAAAAGAGATAACAATTAACTGAAAATAATCTTCTTTGGTAATATAATGCAAGATTGGGTAAAAAAAATCATTTGAAGATACACGACTTTTGGTATCAAAAAGTTCCACCTTCTTGTGATATCCTGTAAGCTATAACCGCATTCTCTCCTTCATCTATATCAGTCGCCTCCAAACTGACATCTAGCCCGGTGCCATTTATGGCGTCCTCTCTGATGAGAACCACTCGAGGTGTTTTACTGATAAATTCTGGAGGATTGTCATTCACATCAAGGATATTAATAATTAACTACAAAAAAAATTATTAATGATGGATGAGCTAGTGAAAATTTTTGCAATATGAATTTTGAGAGATATATAAAAAAAGTGATTCAGAAAACAGATAACTTTATATTATTGAAAAGTAAACAGTAAGCTGGCATTAATGCAGTTTTAAAGTCGGCTTTGCCATTTTGAGACAATGCAGCAAAATAATAAAAAAATTGTAAGATAAAATTTGAAATAGTACTTGGCTAGCAATTCAAAGAAATTAAAATAATTTCAGAAGGAAGATTTTACTTACTTCAGCCAGCATGCTATATTGTGACAGTTTGGCTTGAACTATAAAGCGGAATAGTGCTCGTTTTTCTCTGTCAAAAAACGAAGAATTTCCTTGCTTGATCTGAAGAGCTGTTGTATTAACAAAAAGCTCCGTGTTGTTATCATCAAGATAAAAATCAGCATGGATATAGTTTGGTGTATGAAAGGTGACACTTGATGGTGTTTCATCAGTAGTAAAGTTCTTCAGATATATGAAAGGCGCTGAAAACTCAACGTTTTCCGTCCAGTTAAAGACAAGTTTATCAGTCGGGAAAATCGGGATGATATCTGATCCGGTATCCTTTAAAATAGTCACATTTAGTGAAATAGTGGTCGTAGCATTAAGTGGCGGGGTTCCTTTGTCAGAGATGATAACTGTGTACTGATAGACTCCGTTGCCACTTGGTTGAGATATTGCTGAAACTAATCCCGTATCTCTCTCCACCTCGAGAAATGATGCTGCACTACCACCAAACTCTTGAAAAAGCAATTCAGCATTTATACCAGTGTCAGCGTCACTAGCCGTTATAAGCGCCACCAGCTTGGAACATCCGCCAGATTTACATTCTCCACTATTGAAATAGATATTTTAGAAATTAAAAGTTCCAAATCCTGAACAGAAATATTAACTACTAATCACATTAATTAAATGATTTTTTTTTAAAAAGAGGTTTGAAATCCTAACATTACAATAACAAACCAAAAGAATTTCTGTGCAACAGTAACCTTAGGATGTCTTACCTGTAAAAGATAATTTCGAAATCCTTATCTTCGCTTGGAATTGGTGTATTATCGTTCACATCTTCAACCAATACATAAATTGTATTGTTTGTGGCTTAAAAAGAAAGAATTAGATGGAGGAGAAATGCTTTTCTCTTAACGAGGCCGAGTCTAATTCGAGTGCGCATCACTTTGCGCAGCTTTTTAATTTCATGAATTTTATTTTAATTTTAATACAAAATTAACATTATTTGTAACTCCTACTGATATGAAAATGTGATTTTACTTATTGCGGTTTCATACGTCACAAACTTGGATTTTTACAATATGGCAATTTTAGAGGTATTTGGCGTTTGACCATCGAGATGGAAAATATATCACAATTTGGTGGCTTACATTTACTTTCATTTACTTGAATGAAAAAGAATTAAATGGAGGGGAAACAATTTTTGTAATAATTTGGCGATTTTCCAAAAATTCCCAAAGACTGTAAAGTTTGAATAATTTGTGAATTTTTAAAACAATAAATATAACAGAAAAAATTAATTAAAAAAATTATCAAAATCCCTAGAAAAATTTAAAATTTTAATAATTTTTTTTTTTATTTTAAAATTTAATATATTTTTTTTTACCTCAAAATCCTAAATTCTAATTCACTATTGCTGCCTAGATCATCATCCTCGAAGAAGGACGCCATGTTCCAAACACTTAAACAATTAGACGTTTCTGGTACACTGAATACCTTTCCATCGTTTTTCTTCCTAGGTTCTTCGTTGATATCTGATATATTCACTTGGATCTCTGATGTTGCACAAAGTGGCGAAGGTTTTCCATTGTCACAGACAGCACAGTTAAATACATGGTGATTTATTGTCTCTCTATCAAGTTCACGACCCACTTTCAGCATACCAGTTGAATTAATCTTGAAATACTCCGAAGCACATCTATAAAAAAGTTCTGCATTTATATTTTTATCATTATCAGTTGCATGAAGTTGTCCTATGTTTGAGTCTACCGAAGCATTCTCTGGAATGGAGAACCTATCAAGAGAAAAATATATGTAATTTGATAAATGAAAGAAACCTATATATTTTAACCTATAGAAAAGACTCTCAGTTTGGTTAAATGATCTTTGTGAACAAAAAATATTTCATAAATCGAACAGAAAAGTTTTCCCAACCGACCCTAAGTTGACCCAACAATATTTTTTTAATGATTTTGTAAATGATTATTTATAGCCGAACACAAAATACTTTATAACTTTAAGTCAAATTCAATTGTCATTAATGTTAACCTTTTTCCAAAAAAAAAAATTACCTAGAAAATTTTTTATATAGTATAATGTTCTTAAAAACCTTAATAGACAATTTTGTTTTACGTGGTACTTGGAAGTATTGGTGGATTGTCGTTTATATCAGCTACTGAAATTCGAACACTTGAAGTAGTAGCATGTACTCCATCAAACACTCCTAGGATAAGGTCGTAATATTCTTTTCCTTCCCTGTCTAAAACTTTCAATGAGGAAATTTCTCCAGTACTAGCATCGATATCAAAGGCATCTCCAGATATATTGTATGTGAACACCGAATTCACGTCTCTGTCCGTGGCACTGATAGGATGATCCAGCTAAAGTTCAAAGGTCAAAAACATGTAAAGGTGTTGTTCATGCAAACATGCATGTGCAAGAATGTTATCAATTTATAATTGAAATACAATATCAATTACACACGGTAAACTTTAGAAAATATGCATTATATGTAAAAGTTTAAGGCTCACCTGTATTATTGTACCGTTTGCTGAATGTTCTTTTATTGTTCCGACGTACGTTGCTCTTTCAAATAATGGTGGGTTATCATTTTCATCTTTCACCAAAATCTGAACCTGGATGCTCTGAAAATTTGAAATAAAAATATGTTGAATTATTGAATTCTAACACAATGAATAATTACATTGTACATATATGAAATACTTATATACATATCCTGTTACTTACAGCAAATTTGCATGACCGCTTTTCTTCTTTGGCAAAGACAGAATAGTTATATGAAGGCTTTGTTTCTCTGTCGATTTTAGCGTTTGTTGAAATTTGGCCCTGCAAGTGCAATGGATGATATTAATAGCTTCTCCTTTTTAACCCTTTGAAAAAATTTTGATTGCTAGAAATTATTTGCAAAAAACCATCTGCAAATTTACTTGTAAAATTACATTTGTCAGATATTCTTACGTTTTCTGCATTGAGGTTGAAGAAATTCTGTGCATCTGGCAAGTCGAATATGTAATCAGTGTACCCACTGATACTTATATTACAAACAAAGGTTCCTGTGGATTGGTTTTCTAAGACCTCACAAGTAAAATTGAACTGTGAGTGTGTGTCGTTGGTAACAACAGGAATGACTTCAACGTTAACAGATGCTTGATTATGTAGCTTTCCGTCTGACACGGTAATTGTAGCGTTACCATTCCTCTGTGCGTTTGTCAAGGATATCACACCAGAAGGGCTGATGGAAAATCTCGAATCTCCTGTTATGTTGTATTCGAGGCTTCCCACTGTGTCTGGGTCTGAGGCTGAAACTACACCCACCACGGTACTGAAATCCGACTGTATTGCTTTAAAATTATATGTAGTTGACGTGAATGAAGGCATTACGTCATTCTGATCAACGATGTTTAATGTTACATCGGTTGTAAAATTTTGACCATTGTATTGGCTAAACACAGAAAATTTGTATTCTTTGATCGTTTCATAATCAAAAGGTTTCTGAACCACCACTGAACCATTAGATTGTAAAGCAACAAAGTCATGCGGCTGTAGAATTGTACTGTCAACATTCGGTGCAGTTATGCAAATCACAGTTTCATTAGTATTCTCGTTTATGTCCATTTTATACTCCTTTTTGTACACAACGATTCCTATAAAAAGATCTGTGTAAGCATATGTAATAAATAGTTTAGAAATGAGTTTTGGATCGTGGTCGTCCAATGATATTGTCCAATTCGTTTTCACAATTCCATTTGAATCCATATGAAAGTAACTTACATCACCAAACAAAAATGGACTCGTTTCGTACGACACCAAATCTACCTTGGTAACAAGAGTGTCTTTCATTATTCCATCAGCTAAAATTATTGTCTGGTTTTCTCTAATTGTTTGAATATCAAATGATATCCCTAAGGTATCCTCAACTTTAGCTTTTTCTGGTCCGATAAAAACAGTCACGTGGGCAATCACGTGATACAATTTATCTTCTAGAAATTTTTCAATCTTCACAATTATTCCTGTATTATTCAAAAAGCAACCGAATCCAGATTCCAGGGTTTTAAGAGTGCAATCGCCGTTATTTGTATCAAGTGCTTGTACATCATCTCCAAAGTTGAAGTAGTGTTCTGCGAATGAGTATGAATTATTATGAGTAATAACAACTACCAGTATTAAGTGAGAAATCTTTAATACCAGCAAATGTCTTTAACTAAGGAATAACTTGCAAACATACAAGTCCTATTCCAAAAAAAATATTTTTCTGAGATAAAAATATAATTTTTTCTGTTAGAAATTCATCCATCCATCCATCATTTTTCTATACTTTATGATAATAACGTAGTAGCAAAAAATTATGAGATATCTTTACAAGAAAGTTGGCAGTGGATAATGCAAACTTTTTTCTACTGCTCCTATCCATACAAATGATTTTAAATACCTGAATCTTTGGTACTGCTTTTACTGATAGACACGACTCTGTCTGTTGTAAATATTCCAAGAGAAATGTTCTTATCATCAAATAAAGACTCGGGTACTGAAATATTAAAATTTTCATGTCATATACATCAACTATAAAATTTTTCTAGAAGCAACATACCAAAGAAATATCAATTTTCATAAAGTCAAGGTTACTCAGATGAACCAATATAAATACTTCAACTACGTGAAGAAATAATGTCAATATGGGACAATACATACAGTGTTCATATGTATTATCTAGTGTTGAGTGCTGAATATAACAATTAACAGATCGTTGACTTTGACCAGAAAAATCTAATGGGATATATCACGCACCTGGAACACAGGAGGAGTTAAAGGAGAAGAAGCCATTGATGCATATACATTTCCAGTCTGTTCCTTCGGGTGAAGGCAGGCATGCGCTGTTATCATCGACGCAGTACCCGGAGTCACTATGGTTTCCACATCCCTCCGAGAGATTCCGGCCCACTCGGTACTCCACGCAGGGATTCGGGGTGGTTGCTGGAAAATTAAAATTTTCATACATGAAAAATAAATGTTATTGGTTTTCAATTCCTGGAAATAAAGAAATGGTTTAAAATGAACCTTTCACTCCTCCATTCATTCAGCATACAGACGGAAAAAGCAGACAAGGAAGCGAAATAGACACAAGACAAACGCAGACGACACAAACAGAAAACTTACATTTGAAGGAACCTGAAACTAAATATTTAAATTAAACGTTTACATGAGCAAGACAAGGACAAGGAAGCAGACACCACATTTTGCAGACATTTGTATTATTTGACATTTGTATACTTACTGTTTCTTCTGTTACTATTTATCATTTTCAAAGGCTTACCTCATAAGACTGTATGAAATACCCACCAAGATACATGCAAAAATACATTTTTGAAGGGCAGGGAGTAGTCTGAAAACAGTGAATATCAGATAAAATTATTTTTAGTTTTCATATTTTCATTTTACAGCAACTGCGAGTAGATGATTTTCTTAAAAATCATACATTTTGTTAGCATTAATTTTATTTTAGTCATACCTTATCAAAGCTCCAATGCATTCAAATTTAAACTTTTCATCTAAATTAAAGTTGAAGAACTTTTTTTCCTGTAAGATATATAATTCCCGAATTTTTAATTATGATGTTTTTTTTTAAATTTCTTTTGGATTATATTTATTATTACTTTAACTATATTAGAGAGATCATGTGTTATAGGTTTGCCACATACAATTAAATTTTCGCAGAGCAGAGCAAACACAAACCTCCAAAAACATCACAGGTGGGATCACGTGTCATTGAAGAGTAAACATTCTTCTGTCAACCGGTCACATTCCGCCGTGTGCTCCTTGCCTTTTGATTTGTGCATACATTATCTATTGCACGATAGACATATCAATGCATATATCTCTGAAAAGGAAAGAAATAGCATGTTCTGCCAATATATTTAGAATCTTTATATTCTCGAGTCAAGAAGAGATTAGACTAAAGATAATAGCATACTGTATTTTTAGAGCTCCGAAAATAATTCAAATTATCCTCATATCATTCTTCATTATCTCCTATAGTTTCTACCTTACACTCCACAATCTTTTGACATTCAACTTTCAAACGAAACTTGATATTTAAAGAGGAACATTTAAATGATCTGCTCTATATCGTTATTACTGAAAGAACCATGCAAACAAAAGACATTTTATATGGACATGCATGTAAGAAGAAGTTTATATTTAAGTGTATTTTACAACCACCTTGTAAGTTGCGTCCTTGCGGAATTACGTTTACAAGACAACACATTGTTGTCAACATCCTTAATAGGTTACACAGATCTTTGAAATTTCCAAAAAAATTTATTATATTAATTTTAAAATTGATGATTGTAATTTTGTCATTGTAAAAGACTTTTTATGTATAATTTAAAGACGGTGTTAAACATTCATTAATCTAAAAAAAGCAACAATTTTAAAACAATGTAAAACTTAAAACAGGGCAAAGTTTTGGGAATTCCAGTGGTGGGATAAGGTGTCTACAAGAAGAAAGCGGTCCTTATCGAACCGGTCACACCCGAAATACAGTCTTATGTATTGATCAGGCAACTGGAAGAGTTCAAATTAATAGATATTTGAAAAAAAAAATGATTAATTATAACTTGCACAAAATATAAATGGAGAAAATATCAAAATTACTTAAATAAGAAAAAGAAATTTCGGCTTCTGTTCATGACATTAATTTAGAAAACAAGACAAATCCAGTTTCAGCTATTATCGCTGGTGGATTCAAGTTACCCCTATTATTGTTGGATAAATTTTGAAGACGCAATAAATTTCAACTTCATGATTCATCTTATTTCATAGTAATATTGTAATGAGATGTAATTATATGTAAAATAAAATGGTCATTTACTAGATGGTGGTGGTAAATGCAAAGTTTACAACATGCTAAATTGTCATTAAATTTGCATTGATCACCACCCTGTCAATTAGAACTTTACAACATGATAGCAAGAATTTTAATGAGGCAGAAATGACCGACAATTAAAACAATACATAGATTTAAATAGAACAAAAAAATCTGTCAGTGCACGGTAATTGATATTTTATTATATATCTTACTATAGTCGTTCCATAACTGGTTTAAAGACCATTATCATTATCGTTATCTATTCATTTATACTTGTAATCAAGATGTTAACTCATATTCTAAAAAGCGCTTCTCGGAATAAAATTACCAAGAAAAAAAAAACGTTCAAGAAAAACTAACCTTCATATCATATTTCAACCTGATTCATAAAATACCTATACATGTTTTATGCTAATTATTCCTGAATAAAGGAGAGTTTTGTAATAAAACCCACAGGGATAATATTCTAAAGGATAAAATAAATGTATGAACCCTATTTGGAAACAGCACTGATGCTGTAATCTTACCCAAACACAATGGTTCAACAAATCTAGCAACAATACAACAATCGTAAAGTACAAAATTTGGAGCTCTCCACCGGCCAAATGGTGGCGTCTGCATATGAGTGAAAAATTCTCGAGAGAGTCGTTAAACAACATACAGCACAAACAAAAAAAAAAAAAAGTGGAATAGAAAAAAACATATTTTATCTTAAAACTGGACTTTTAATTTCAAATATTTTTGTGGATAAATCTGTTTTATAATACATGTACATACATTATGACCATTTTTAACCAAAAATGGTATGTCTTCTTGAAGATATACAATCTTTACTTTAATTCATAATATCTATTTTTGGAGCATGATATAACATAAAAATAAACGTATACTTCAGGCAAAAAGAATTATTCTGATTTCTCTTGAATTTAAACAAAAATTCACAAAATAAACATAATAAATTTCCAACTCACAAAAAAAAAAATTAAAGAGCAAATAAATTATATGATTGTCGTAACCATGAACATTTACATGAAACTCAGATTTCCTATTCACAAACATGTCATGTGTTCCATTATTCAGAATTCAACCTCGAAGAATTCAATTTAAAAGACTTTAGTTATTCAGCACCAAATGCATTGTAGACACCAGTAAATGCATGATAATCAATCAGGTTTTTAATGAAAGAGCGTACTGCCCAATTATATTCTTTAAAAGGTATCCTTTGAATGTTGTACTGCAGAGAAAAATCTTAGATATGATTTTATAAAGCTTTTAAATTCCAAAAGACTAAATACTATTTATTATCTTGTTAGATCATTATTCAAAGAAGTAATATTTATGTTTAAAAAGCAATTGATTATCAAAAGGTTACATAGAAATAATATTTCATATCTAATTTTAAAATATGATTTCCAGCAAGATTTCAAATACGCTATAGCACATAACTTTTCCCGAGACATATGAAAGTTTTCTTACAGGGCATTTCTTTTTAATGAAGATATACCAGGTGCATCGAAAATAAAAACATGCAGACATGTACTTTATGTTTAAAAGTTTTTCTGTTAATATAAAAAAAGGCTTTGTATTAAAGATGGAAAAAATTATTTCAGGGGCAATGAAATATAAAGAATGATGCGCAGTAGAAATACCAGGTAGTCTTTACATAAAGATATTCCTTTATTCTTGATAAACACTCTCAGCTGTACATGTATCCATATAGTACACTGGAATTTTTCTAATGCCTTCTAACATTTACTTGAAATTTTAGATTGTGTCCCTGTTTTTTATAAATGTAAAGTGTTAAACACCTTTAACTTGTTAATTAAGGGTAATTATTTGCAGAATATGAATATTTTTTGCAAAAGTATGAGTTTTTGTTAAAAAAAAAAAAAAAAAAAAAAAAAACTTACCGAAAACGAGATCTCTTTCCATGTAAAAACTGGAAAAAGCCAAATGGCCAGCAAGAGATGAATTTTTGAACATTCATGCCATCTAAATAGATCTTCCAAGTAATATATTACGACACAACCTATCCTGTAAATTACTTCGTAGTTGTCAGGTACAAAAAGACTAGGCAAAAGACGCAAGGTTGGGCAGACCTTTAATTTGGCACTCTCTTCACCAGAATACACTGAAACAGGGAAGTTTTATATGCTTCAGTAGTTGTTAAGTCAAAGGAATTATGAAATTAACAAGGATACTTTGGATTTAAATACCCTTTAATTTAAAAATAAGTAAAGTAAATTATTCCGAACCCCATCTTGTGCATGTTTGGTGCAATGATATTCGCTGTTGCATAGCAAATGCTTTACCAGACATACCATGTTTTATTCTCAAAGGGGAATATAGCATGGTGTTCAACTGGTAAAGTATTTGTCCAATGCAACAACGTAACTATTTTATATTTTGATTGCATTAAACATAAGACTTTTCTCGATGACTATTTTCTTATGTACCTTACCTGTACAGGTTAAAGGCAACAACATATTGGTAAGTCTGAAAGGTTATTTTTTCCAAGAAAAGTGTGCGCGTTTTTTCATTATCTTTTCAACCCTCATAGTGTCTGTGTATTTAAAAAAACTAAAGAAAAAGAAATACAATGTATCTTGAAAGGCTTTGTAAAAGTTAAAACTAATATATTTTCTAAAAGCTTGCAAATTTCAAATTATGAAATACATGTACCTTGAAAAGCTTTGTAAAAGTCAAAAGTAATATATCCTTCTAAAAGCTTGCAAATTGCAAATTGAAATGTATTCTAAGCACTGTAGAAGCAACAACTTTGACTTGTGCTCACATGCAATTGTTTAAGTTAAATCAATAGACGGTAAGTGCTGTTCTTGGTCTTTTCAGATGAGTTAAAGGTTGTTTCTTTTTTTTCAAATGTTGCTGTCTTAATGTCAAGTGTACCAAAGTTTAGACACAAAAACTCTTTTTTAAAAAATGTACAGTGTATATTCAGCTCCTTATTGAAATAGATAAACTTAAGACTGTGGAGTCATTAATGTTCTTGAACGTTCGTGCATTAAATACTAGCATATAAATTCATTGAATTTACCGTACAAATGAGTAACCCACAAAATTACGTCACAACAAACAAGTAAAATTTTGCTTACCCACGAACATTGACACCCACGATTAAAAAATGATTCCACAGTAATATGTTCATTGCAAAATATGTTCCACTTCCTCCAAATACTAGTATACGACTTTCTTTTACACTAAGCACTTCGGAGTGCTTTAACGTGTGTTGGGGTACAATTAACACTTTTTGCATCTGCAAGATAGTGTAGAAATTTCTTTTGAAGTCATTATTTTGCATATTCTATGGAGGATAATACGTCCTTGTTTGAGAATGCAATCTGTCAATAGGTCGAGTGTCGACTGGCGTATCTTTCATACAAATTATTGGGCAAGCATGCGTGTATTTTCGTACTGAATTGACTAGTGATTTTTTTTCGTTTATCCAGTCCTGACAAGGAGCATGCGGTGGGTGTGACTGTTTATCGGGGGGGGGCTTATTCCTCCCTGACACCTGATCCCAACTTTAATGTTGCAATTTAGGAGCAGAGCAAATACGGACCTCTAAAACATCAGAGTGGGATCAGGTGCCATGGAGAAGAGAGCATCCCCTGCCGACCGGTCACAACTGCATTGTGCTCCTTGTCATGATCGGAAAATAACGGGAAAATTCGTCGAAAATTCAGCGTGTACGAGGGCTGTTTAATAAATAATGTCCTGGACTATATGACATACAAAATAGAAATCATATGACATTAAACTTGACTTTCTTTTATGCTTGAATCTTTAATGAATTGATAACAGTTTATATGACCACTTTTCATCACATAGTTTCATTGTGAGAAGCTGGAAAACAAGGGCTATTCGAGACACTGCATTAAAATGAATGGTAGAGAATCAGTGAACCAGAGTGAAATTCATGCTTCCTTAAAGTTGCTGTAAAACTTGTTAAGAATCTTATAGACATATTCATAAAAGTATGTGAAATTCACAGCAACCAGTGTCTTTTTCATAGACACATAAGCAGATGGATTTCAATGAACAAAAATGATATAATGGGCATCAAAAATGGGTACCCTCCTTGGCGACAAGGACTTGCAACAACCAATGTACTGTTTGCCAAAATTCAACAATTTAAAGCTGATGATGTTTGATTGACTTTACAACACATGGACATAGCAAATTTGATAGGCATCTTTTTGAGAGTAGTTCACATTGTTTTAAAGAAACATTTGACAGTATAAAAGCTTGGTACTCAATGTTCACCCTTTGTTTTAAATAATGAGTGAAAATGACAGCGTGTAAGAATATCCAAACAATTATTTTAAAAAATCAGAAATTGTAGTTTTCGACATTTGTCTGAAATTCAAACAGATAAGGAAACTTGAATCCATTGCCTTATACCCTCAAAACAAATTAACAATAAGATGCACTTGACAAAAACAGCAAAGGTCTGGAAAAGAGCTAAGGATTGCAAGAGCGCAAAGACAGTTTTATATGCTATTTTCACAAATATTAGTGGTCTTGTTGTTCAAATTATTATTTAGGGAGGCAATTCAATTTCTGGAGGAGTGTAAAAAGCAAAATTTTTGCCAAAAAATTGACAGGTTTATAAGACGATGGAACCAGAATAAGGAATCCTCTACATTACATTTCTTCATAACAGCGTCTAAACCCACACGCTAGGAAGAGTAAAGGGGTTTGGGGGTAAACAGAACGCTAATATTTTGTCATATCAATATTCGCCAAATCTTTCATCCTTTGACTTGTTTCATTTGCCAAACTTGAAAAAAAACACCTTTCAGAAAAAAGAAACAAGTTCAGGAAATCATAGGATCTGCTATATTCCAGTAAATGAAGGGCCATACTCAGAATTTTTTTCTAAAAACAATCAGAAATTAGATAAAAATGTGTCGGGCAATATGTTTTAATTAAAAGAGAATATTTAAGTGAAATCATTAAGACTACATCATTAAAATCGTTTTTGTTTCTATCCGAGCATCAAGGACATTTTTTATTGAACACCCTTGTAAATAATTGTCTAACAATTAGTATGAAAAACGCACATCAGCATCTGGTTTAATGACAGATTGTATTTGCTGACGTCAATATATCAACCAAAGAGCTTAAGAAATGGTGACTTTATATGAAACTGTTTATATTCATGTTATATTAACTTGTTTGTTTATAACTTATCTCGTTTTAGAAATTGTTCATGAAAAAGAAGAAAACAGTTGCTGTGGCCTTCAGCTCAATATTTACATATATCGACGACGTACTGTCAATGAACAATTGTAATTTCCATTCCTAAGTCGATACGATATATCCTGGTGTGTTTGAGATAAAAGATACCACAGAGTCTGACACATCTGTTTAATACTTGGATATTTAACTTGAAAAAGACGTTAATGGTAATCTATCAACCAAGTTCTATGATAAACGTGATGACTTTTATAACTTTTCTATCGTCAACTTCCCTTACGTATGCAGCAATAAACCTTCACCACCTGCATACGGCGTTTATATATCTCTGTCGATTCGATACGCAAGAGCATACTCTACTTATGAACAATTTCTAAAACGAGTGTAAAGTGTTGAAATGTAAGCCCTTTTAATGTTTATGATTTTGGAAAAAATCATTATTTAAAAAAAATTCTAAAAAGTTCTTTCGCGCTTCTAACTATTCAAATTTGATTTACACCACTTCTTGAATACTTCAAGTACGTTGTTTAAGAAATAAAGTCCGCGTTTTCCTTCCGACTGACAGAATGCTCTTTGTCACAATCGAGAAATAACGGGGAAATTAGGTGACAATTCAGTGTTTAAATAATCGCCTCACAATAACAGGTGTAGTATAAAAAAACGTCCATCAGAATCTGGCTTAATGACAAATTGAATTTGCTGGCGTCATTGTATCGACCATAGAGCTTACGAAATGGTGACTTTATATAATAATGTTTATATTTATGGTTCATCAACTCGTTTTTTGCTTTGCCTTGCTGTAGAAATTGTTCCTAAGTAGAACTCGCTTTTCCTATCAAATCAAATGGGAAAAAATATAATCCCCATATACAGGTGATAAGGGTATATTGCTGAATTTAACATAAGTAAGGGAAGGTGACGATTGAAAGGTTAGTCATCACATTAATCATAAAGTGTTGGCTTTTAAAAAGTTGTTTGATTACTAACATTTTGTTGAACTGCATTTCAGTGCAATTTACAGAATATACAGTGTTTAAATATTAACAGACGACACATCGATGTGGTCTATATATATATTTAACAATTTTTTGGCAAGTCAAATGTAATATTTCAAAATTATTCAGGTTTGAATACGTGTTTCTGATTCATAAATTTTTCATGACAAAGTTTATGATTTATTGGAGAATAATGTTAATGGTTTTGATCTCGGAATAATCGTAATAAAATTTTTTTAAAGTTCCCCTTCTTTGCTTTTAATTTTTGTTACCTTGCATTGGTTAGGAGTAAAAGAAGAGATCAAATATCAAAGTTTTACTAATAAAAGTAAATCATTTTTTTCATGTTAAAATTACATACATGTACATTTCATGTCATTCTTTTCAGCAAAACTGGAGCATATATCATCATTCTGATAACATTTTTGTTTTATATTTCCAGTCCTCTTCATTTTCATGTAAATTTTTTTTGAACGATGCATCAAATTTAATTTGAATCTCCAGAATTTAATTTATTTTTAATGATTGTTTATCTTTTATATATGGTAAAATTTGATTTTTGTGTTCAATGAAAACATGTGACAAGGACACAATAAATAAAAATGAACGTATTATTTTCGCATCTCTCTTGAAACTTTTTCAGCTTGATTTAAATCCATCTGAATGCTTGCATGAAGCTTTGCAACTCGGTGACAAAAAATCAATTTGACAAGATAAGTTAGGATAACGAGATTCAATTTAATGCATAGAGATCTCTAAGACACAATTAAAATGCACAAACAAAAAATCATTCTAAAACGAATGTTAGTCAACATAGCTTTCTCAGCAATACGTTACAAATACATGACACATGAGGCCCTATATGATAATTACTGTAACAGTTCTGGATCACATTATGCTTGTATGATTTTCATTTATCAATAAAAATACACACATAAATAAAGTTTTAATGCTCAATTCATACAACTCTTCGTTTTCAACAACCACTGCATACTTTTACAACATCATGCTTGTACATTACACTGTTTACACATCAATTTTACCAAATAAATGTACATGTCAAGTAAAAAGTGCGATATCAATAGTTTTACAAAATAACCAACAAATAATAGCAATACTGAGGATCTATATAAGTACATTTGAATATGTACTAAGTCACATTGAGTCAATAGGAGCCACTTAGCTAGTCCTCCTTGTTACTAGTTCCCCCGGTGACAGTACCCGGATCAGTAAACACTGACTGGTCATATACGTCACGTCTCAGTGTTCCACAAGCCCAGTCCATCAACATGGTGCTCGCTCCAAAATTAACGTTTTTATGTCTACAAAGTATAAAAACCATTTTAATATGATAAAATGATATTATAGTTTGGAGCTCACTGTAAAGTTTCACGTTACGTCACGATCCTTTTCGTCAGATGCATCCTGCGTAAACAATTCACGTGATTGTACAACTCAAATTATCAACATTGACACGGAAATAGTCTGTTGTACGAGCAACCAATCAGGGATAAGAAGAAAGTTCCAGTCGTAAAGCTTACGGTTAGGAGGCGTGTACAATTTAACTTGAGCGCAGCTGTCAACTAGATCGTGACGTAACGTGAAACTTTACAGTTAGCTGCAAACTATAATAAATGCTTATGACATCCACTTTTTTAATATGGAAAGTTTGCAACAATGCATCTGGGATACCTGCTTTGTGAAAGGAGAGAAGGTAAAATTACTTACTTTCGATGAATCTGTTGAAAGACATTTTTGTTGGAGTGAAACATTAAATCCGTGTATATGGCATATGTTGTAACCAGTATATAAAGAGCTGGAAATATACAATGCAATTATGATATATAAATAATGATAATATATATGAACTTATACAAAATATAACTTAAACTCGTTAGATCCCAAACATCATGACGAAAATCCGAAGAATTGTCTTCAGTTGATACCAATTAAAAAACGATTTGTAATTTCATAACTAGAATGATGCATATCTGTTTAATCTTCTACAATTTAGACATTTGGAGATATTTGCGCGTTAAAATATATCTAATTTGTTCCACTTTTCAATATTCCGAGTCTTCTAGCCAAACTGTTAGCTTACTTATTTATTTTTTAAAAACAGGCACCACTCTTTTGATGAGGCGCTGCAAATCAAGAAGTCTTTCAACTTCGTTAAAGAATGAATTTTATTGTTGTAGACCATGATATACCTGTACTTACCAATATGAACAGGGAACAGGTAAATGGGTAGAATGATTTGCATCACCAAAATAATTAATTCCACAGGATGGATTACACAGAAGCTCCATGTCGTCTGCTTAGGCCAGTGGCGCCAATAATGAATAGTTTTATACATTACAGAAGAATGGAAAGTCCTATGTCGATAGTAAGTCATAATTTCATGGTAAAGAAATAGCGCAGGAACTGACACAGAAAAGTATAACCAGCCTCGGTTTGAAATATCATAATACAAGAAGGCATACGCTGTAAAAAAAAAAATAGTTAAAAAGTCTATAGTTGACCCTATCAATGTGAAAGAAATTAAGATTTAAAATGCGTCAAGATTCAAATATGGGGCATAACTCAAGCACAACTCGTATTGATTTAAAGAGAAGGAGTTTCATCAAACTAGAAATGACTGCTTTAATTTAAAAGATTGAAGAACGATACAATATTGTATTATACTAGCTTCATTGTACATACTTTTAATCGGAATGTACCACGATATTAGAGCACAAACTACAGATCCCAGTGAAATATTGAAGGAACTGAGAATAACGTCATTAAATATTGTAGAATCTTCTTCAATGTCCGCAAAACCCTGTGAAAAGATAAAAAAATTAAAATCTCTCGTAGAAAAAAAATCTTAATAATAAATAAGAATCCATTCCTTTTATATGACCGAACCAGTTTTTCTCAAATAAGTTCTCAAAAAATAGATGACACTTATTACTAGTTGAAGTTTTAATAATGGGTTCTATACATCTGTACATGTAAAGGACTGCAAATATTTTTATGAGCGACATAGTTATGAAAAAAAAATTGGCCATGGACTTAGATTTTCCTTTGGCATAAAGTTACCTTTTGTTGTTTACCACTATAGAAAAGCCAATACCATAGACCAGTCAACACATTGTACACGACAACTGAGAGAAACGCCGAGTAGAGGAGAAACTTAGGTAAACTCTGACTTGGTTTGAGCTCGGACCACTGGATGTTAGGAATATACACGTATTCGTCGATAGAAAACGTTGTGTTATCTTTGCTTTGGAAATATTGAATAACGTCTAAGATCCATTCTCCTGTTGAAAAAAAAGAAAACGACAACTGATCGATCACAAAAAAATCTACCAAAAAATACAAATCTGTGAACAGATCATAGAACACAGAGCCCCTGAAATTCCAGAGGTTAGACTATGTGCCTTACTGTGCCTATAGGACACCTTTTGACTGGTCACAACAGTCGTAAGGCCTATGTGTATTGAACGGGCATACGGAACATTACGTATAGTCAAAGGACAAGCTATGGTTAGGGCCAAATTTGGTCCCTTATTTGATATGAAATTGTGATAGTTTGTAATGCTCGTTTTCAAGCCAGTACTAATTTTGATTGAAAGCTTTCACGGAGGTCATATAAGGATGCAGAAATAGATTTTTCCGAATTTCCTCATATCTGGTGGGCTTTCGTCATATTCGAGAAACTTTTCACTTCGGAAAGGATAGAGCACAGACTTGCCTATCTGATTTTTTTTTTAAACAAGCCACATCTCATACTAGTACAGTGTATATGGAATATATAAATATGGTTGATAGGCAAGTTTGTGCTCCATGTTTTCTAAAACAAATTGTGCCTTAAAAGCGATGAAAATTGTATAAAATTGTGAAAATTTGGAAATTCACATATTTTTTGACTTTCCTGTGATCTTTGTATATCCCATACAGTAGAACCAATACTCATTCTGTGCAGAGGTAACAAGAGGATTTTATTGATAAAATGTTGGATCATTCTATAAAACACCCCAAATCAGGAACCAAAATGGGGTCTTAGCTTAAATATTTTTGTTCTTTATCTGAAAATACAAAGGTTTAACATCAACTGATAGGCGACAAGAAATAATCCAAAATATGTGATAGGATAAATATTACATGTATTCTGTATACAGGGTCATTTATCAACCAAAAAAACCTACGAAATGATTGCTTTAAACAAGGTTGTTGAAATCCTGAAAGATCAACTTATTTGTCAGAAACCTGTCCCAGTCTAAAAATTGTTCGTACTTAAAGCGTGCTCTTGAGTAATGTTGAATAAGTTGGGAGGTGCTAACATATTAAGCATGTGTTAGCATCTTACTACATAAATCAGGAAAGTTAACAATGAAAAAGCTGTCAGCTCGTTTGTGATAAAATTTAGTTGTTATTTGGTCCTTATTGTCTACAGATCTAGTAGTCATTAAAACATCCAAATGTGACAGATGATCCTGTGGGTTCTTTTCTTTCAAGGAAAATGGATATAAAAGGAATTGTGACCAAATATCTTATTTAATTTGGTATTTTGAATCTGATTGGATGAATTTTGATAGTAATGGTTTTAGGAAATGATTACCACAAAAACCTTCTATTGCAGCATACATGTATACATTGTATCTAATATTCTTTGTGTTATTGAATTGTAACGAATAATAAAAATCAAACTACACTTGTTACATGAATAAAGTTTTAAAAGATTATTAATGATGTTGACGAGTTTTTAAAACGTACATGTATGCTTATTTTATTATTGTCCTACACCGAAGTTTGGACCAAGGAGGACCTAAATATGTATACAGTTACTGCATGGACAAGTTCCTTGGAAATAAATGAAAGACAGATACTTTACCCAAGTTAGTAGTTCTTTTCTGTAGTCTTATATGTATGAAAGCTACCGAGTTATATTTGTTTTGAGTACAACACTACTCAGAAGCATTTGATGTATTCAGCTTACATGGAAAACTTCAGACTGACTGTTGCGATTCAGCTGTTCCTCTCCCAACTTTTTTTTAAAAACAGCATTGCATGTGCCATACATCGATTTCCTTGTAAAGGGTAAAAATTAACTAGCTTCTGTACGTCCCATTAATAATTCAAGGAAAGCGCCGTGGCCAATAAAATACATGTACGTACATTCAGCTGGTATGGATAATAAATATGATCCTACCTCTTGAGGATGCAATGGTGAAAACAAGGATGATAAATCCCAGATTAAGCAGTGTTTGTAAGAAGCCCATGAAGAGTCCTTCGTCATTTTCCGACGGCGGTTTCTTTCTTTTCCGTCGAACTTTAGTAGCTTTTCTTTCTGGTGGACGCAGAAAAATCATGTCGGCTACTGTGCTGCTAATGTAAACAACTGCAAAGGGAGGTCACTCTAATTGATATTGAATGGATGAGTGCGTTCGATATCCAAACAGCGAACAAAAGATTTATTGACATATTTTTAACGAGTCATTGAAAGCAACCATTCAAATCTTTTAAGACTTCTGTCCTTTAAAAATGTCTGCTTGACTTCAGCAGTCTGTAGTAAATAAAGTGTCACGGCCTTGAATACATTTTTAATTAAATAATTTTCTTTTGAACTTAGGGACTAGTTTATTAGGTTAAGAGGAAAGGTTAATTTGGGAAGGGAGGGGGGGGGTTAAAGAAGTTTTTTGTAAATGAAATGACTTGCATGCTAGATACTATGTATTAATAAAAAATGAAGAAAGTATAACAAAGCACTAAGATTAAAGGCTATGAAGGTAAAACTGCATTTTGAGGTGGAAAATATTTTATTTTTAATTGTCAGAGTCTATTGTGACCTAATCCAAAGTTAATTAACCTTAATATTCATTGGTGTTAAATAATTAAGCCCGCTGAGCCAATGTCATAACTTCTCCAAATAAAATTTTAAAATACAACACTTTAACTAAAAAGCCACATTTTTTTAATTTCAATAACTTTTTTCTTGTTGACAAAAGAACAACATACAACAAAAAGACATAAAATGATAGTAATATGACTAGGTCGTGTCATTTATAAACATAATAATTTCTGTATAATTGTAAAACATATAAATAATTCAGTCCTCAACAAAAAATTGAACATTTGCATTCACACCAAATCGAGTACAATAACTAAACATTTTGTTAGTTTATATACCGTCATGTCGGTAAAGATGCTGATGTTATCAAATAAGTATTTCTTGACTTTCACATCAAGTATTGGGTTGGGATACCCAAGACTGTCATTTGTGTAAAGTAAGTTTCATACATTAATTAATTCAAGTATGTACTTTATTCTCACATCAAGTACTAGAATGGGATTTCTAAGACCGTCATTTGTGAACAAAAAAAGTACCATACATCAGGGACCTAATAATACTAACAGTAAGTATATAAGTCTCTGCATACATGAAAATATGCAATAAAAACAAATTATTTAAAAATTAAGTAAAGATCATGTAAACAATAATAACAACATTAAATGATTTTGTAATTACAAACAACAACAAAAAAAATTCACATAATATCAACCTCGCTGTTGTAAATAAACCGTTTTAAGATGACAACAGTATTAAACAATATACATGTATTTCTTCTTATATCGGGTGCTGGGAACGAGAATTCCAACACCGTCATACATTTTTTATTTAGAAGAAACACAATTGCTTATACAGTGAAAAACAAAATGTAAATAAATGTATAAATTGAACATGATCTCAAAATGCCACCTACATCAAGCAAAACAATTCAGATATTGTTGTAGCTGTCATTTATACGTAGACAATTCATAGATCTTTGGGACAACAGTAAAATACAACATTACATGTAAAAAAAAAAAAATGAATTAAGTGTATAAATTGAACAAGATCTCAACTGCCACTGACATCAAGCAAAACAATTAGGACATTGTTACAGCTGTCATTCATAAGTGGACAGTTCATAGATTTTTGGAACAACAGTAAAATACAAAATGTAAATGAATTTAATGTATAACTTAAACAAGATCTCAAAATGTCACTCATATCAAGCAAAACAATTCTGACATTGATTTAGCTGTCATTTATACGTGGACAATTTATAGATCTTCGAAGACAACAATTAAAACAATAAACATAGATTTCTGAACAAAGTTTGGCAACTTTTTTCATGTACAGAAATATTCAAGTAAATTTTAAAACAATGAAATTATGAATCATGTAATGTCACCAATTTACTTTTAACTATAAATATTAGGACAAATAGCAAAGCCCATTTAAATCTGATTTTTATATAAGCTACCCCCCTTCCCAATGAAGTTTCCGGTTCCGTCTCTGACAGCATGATTAAAATTTTATCATCGGATGATCGGTTAGTGTCCTTTGATGACATGAATTTCTGATACCCAATGTTTGTTTAGCCTAGATTTCTTATCAGGATAAGTTCGTACGGCATACTTTGTAATAAACAATCTTCTCAGTAATCAATATTGATGAAATGAATGAAGGTAAATACAATTGCACTCTCTTTGATATGAATGAGATAAAGAGTTTGTTTTGGCCTATCTTTTGACTATAGTCTGTTTTTCATTCATGCAATCTTGCCATTTTTTTTTAAGTGGGGGGGGGGGGGTATGATGACCAGAGAAGAGAGCCTCCCTAGGAATAGAAATCTATTCAGACTTTAGGGACTGTCTTCCATGTCCTCCAAAATTATCCTCCCCGTACACACGATCCTCTTTTCTCAGAGTGTCATGGAACCAGTCAAAAAAGTACGTGTTGAAGCCGAAGTTGACGTGAAAATGCCTGGAAAATATAGGAATGCATAAAAATAGGCCTACTCTAATTGTGATGTATGCAACTGTAGACCACTGTATGCCAGAAGACATCTGACACTGTTTGAGAGTTTGATGTAAAGTAAGGATGTCAGGATGAACATGTAAACATCCACTATCAAGTCAAAACTAGCGATGGAATTGTAATCTTACTTGTGGTGGTTGTCGTGAAAATATGAGTGTGGCTGCCACGGCCAAATGGCTCCCATCTTAATTCCGGAATGGTCGCAGAGTCCGTAATAGTAGGAATATAGCAACACAAACAAGAATGGAACTGTAAAAGAATGATAGGGATAGAGCAACCAAAAACATGAACGGAACTGTAAAAGAACAATAGGGATAGAGCAACAAAAAACAAGAACGGAACTGTAAAAGAACAATAGGGATAGAGCAACACAAACAAGAACGGAACTGTAAAAGAATAATAGGGATAGAGCAACACAAACAAGAACGGAACTGTAAAAGAATAATAGGGATAGAGCAACAAAAACATGAACGGAACTGTAAAAGAACAATAGGGATAGAGCAACACAAACATGAAAGAATAACAGGGGTACATCAACAAGAACGGAACTGTAAAGTAATAGTAGCAGTACAATAACACAAACATGAATGAAACTGTACAGTAATATCAGGTATACATACATCAACATAAACATGAACGAATCTGTTAAAGAATAATGGGGGTACAGCAACAAAAACAAGAACGGCACTGTAAAAGAATAATAAGGGTACATCAGAACTGTACAGCATGCAGGGGTACAGCAACAAGAACGGAACAGTAAAGAAGCAACACAGACAAGAACGGAACTGAAAACTACACAAATGAAATGATTCGACAAGTGGCCTTGTTACCAACTTTTTTATTCTTGTGATTCCATTAGACGCTTAATGGATTTATTAGCATGGAGTTAATTTAATCCTTGTAGAATTCTGCTTAAAATTCATTTTACGCTTGCTTTTAAAAAGTTCTAGTCATGAGGGTCAAGTTATAGATGTCTCTGAATTTCAGAGACTTCTTTAACAGTTTAATTTTCCAAAATATGCACAATGTGTGTTGGTGATCGTAGATTCTAAAATTTAGAATAACTGAAGTGTCAACAACGTAGGTACTCACAGACATGGATGGGAATTAAAAATGGGGTTGCAGCCAGGTAGCCCTGATACATTAGGAACTCGGCGGGGTGCATGGCGACCGCACTCCACGCAGTGGGCTGGTGGTACCGGTGGTGCATCTTGTGGATCTTTTTATAGAGCCAGGGTCTGTGAAAGAGACGGTGGAGGTAGTACGCCATTGTTTCGTTGTACATAAAGAATCCCACCAGTGAGGAAATGAAGTACGCCCAGCCTCGTTCTGATATATCGTAGTACATCTTACAGTATCCTGTAAATTGAAAGAAAATGTGAATTTAATTGTTTGGGATAAAAACATTTTTATGGACGTCTGAGTCAGACTTAGTAAATGCTAAACTGCAGTTTTCAACATTCAAGGAAGACCACAAATATTTGAATAAAATGTCTCTCAGAGACCCTTGAAAAATTATGCATAGGACAAGAGCTTCTTAGTCGCCCGCGTTGCGCAGTTTTTAGAGCGTCTGCTCTCGAGTCGCTAATTATAAGGAGTCGATCCTTACATCGCGGGTTCGAATCCAACTGTGGGACGTGGAGACCGGTTCTTCGGATGAGACCGTGTAAACCGAGGTCCCGTGTCGCAGTAGGTGCTGGCACGAAAAAGATCCCTCGCTGCTCAATGGCCCTAAGTGCCGAGAATAGGACAAAATTTGTAGCTCTCCACCGGCAAGTGGTGGCGTCTCCATGGATATGAAAAATCTGAAGAGAGGGACGTTAAACAACATGCAATCAAACAATCAATCTTATCATACCTCCATTGATTATGAAACAGGCGATGATTCCTGAGCACACGGAACCTATCAACATGTTCATGGATCCCAGCAGAATCTCGTGTCTCTCGTTCTCCGGCGTCAGAAATTTGTCTGGCTGGCACTTCCACTCCTTGGCCTTAAAAACAAATCATCAACTTTCTTAACATGGGGAATAAGTCTGTTTGTACTCTCATGCTCATTTTGAGAAAGTTTTCCTCGGTAAGTTTTGAGGGATGGGGGGGGTTATTTCACAAGTTCAGTCATCTTCGCTAACCAAGGGTTTCCGATTCAAAATCTACTCAACACAATCACAACTTCTCGGCCTTTCCGACAAGCGGAAAAACAACTTTTTGGGACTTTCCGACAAGCGGAATTCCGACGTCTGAAGGAAAGGGTCGAGATGATGCGAATTGATAAATTAAAAACTTAGAACTTTTTATAAACTTATTTATCAACTTGTTTGCATTTTCTTGAATATTTTATACGCCTTGTATGTTAAAAACTACACAAGGAAAAATTGAAATAGATCCTTATATAGCAAATTGTTTGTTTGTTTCTTTGTTTTCTATCAAGTTCAAATATTTTTGTATTCTATCATACAAAATGTTTTTTTTTTAAATCGTTGACTCGTACCAAATGTCTTCGATTGACGTAATAGTAATAGTGCCATCCATATGCCAATCCGTAGTACATAACAAAAGACGTGGATATTGCCATCAACACGAACCAGTGGACATTCTGAAGCTTCAGGGTCTCCAGCAGAGGTCCCGGGGGATCTGTGATATTGTAGTCACCGCTGGGGGGCATCTGAACACCTTGCCTTCCCATCATGCCTTGCAGCTGGTCCCTGAACATGTACACGATAACTAACAGCCATTCTCCTAAAAATAAAAACCGGCCTTGTTTTAGAGATATTAATATCTTCCAGTTCATTTGTGTGCATACATAACTATGTAATATGCAGCAAAGTTCACTTCTACTTTTTTTTTAATATCAAATTTTTTTATCATCAATATTTGGAAATAAAAGAATATATGTTTTGAAAATTTATTTTCAGATTCTAAGTTTTAGAAGTTTTATTCATAAAAGTGCGCATATTTCGTCATTTGTAATTAGTTTTTTATTTACTTGTGTATATCTATGCTTTATTGTAGCAAAGGACATGTATTGGAGTGAATGTCTTCGGGATTTTCCAATCTCGGCAGAAAATATGCTTTGAAATACTTTAAATACTGATATGTTTTGGGATTAAAATGTTTGTGTTTCGAATTGGTTGTCTAAAGAAAAAAATAAATACCAGACTCAATTTAAATATCTCTATGTATACACTCGTCTGTTGTGTCTATATTAAAAGAAATTTTGATTCTATAAATATCGTTATTGAAATGAGTGTTGTATACTTTGGATATTGTACTTCAATTTCCCGTGCCTAAGGTAGCATTGTGTTAAAACTTGTTTAAAATATTATAAGGAATAGAATTTCGCTTTCAGTTTAAAAAAAAAAGAATTTTCAATTTTTAAAAAAAGAAATCAATGCACATAGAGATTTCTCATTCACTGCTGGTAATACTGATAAATAAAGACTTGCTGTTCAAAAAGTTGCTTACTTTTTCTTTCTTTCCTTTTTTAATTATTTTATTTTATATTTATTTATTTATTTTTACTCTTCTTTTATCTGTTTCTGACTTTGATAAAGGAAAACAAATTTGAAACACCCTGCAAAAAATTATGAAACAAATTAATACTCTTAAACTTTATCTTAAGTAAGCAGAAGTATCGAAGAAAACTCAATAGTTTTTTTCTTTATCAAGAATTGCCTCGTGTGAAATCAATATTAAATAAATTGTCCAAAGCTCTTTCGATCGGCATATTCTCGTTGTCTGCCTTTTTTACAACATAAATATTTTCCAACGTATTTTTACTAAATTTGTATAATGCCTGAATACTAAAAACTTAGGTATTTACACTTTATACATACATGTGTAAATTATGAGGCATTTATATTCAATATTCAAAAACATGTACGTGCATTATGTATGAAGACCTCATTAAAGAAAATAGCACATAAGTTGTAGATATTAATAATCAAAACTTTCATAATACTACAAAAATGTATTGTTTATACACACCTCTGGTAGCTGTTGCCAAAAAGAAAACAATGAGCATAAATGCAAACTTAGAGAGCGAATCCTGGTACTTTTCTCTGATTAGCCCCATCTTTAAAATTCTTCACCAGCCGGCGACCCAGCGTGTATATTGCGTTTTCTCTAATCCAACTTCCCAAAAATCCCTCTCCTCTCAAATTGTGAAACAAAACATTCCTATGAGTGATATCACGTAGCCTTCATTCATTCTACCCTTTCTAGAACCCAGTGGGTCGAAAAGTGGACCTCGCTGACTGATAGGTTTGTAACATATAGTTACTGAAGAGGTATTAACTAATGGGGCGAAACAAGGGGAAAATGCAGCGCGTGCGATAATATTGAATTTTTTTCCTCTACCGTTTCGCATGCATTAACATATTTTCTTTGATGAAAGCCTTCGTAACTCTTCACAGTACCAATAAAAAAAAGAATCATATAAATATATGATGCATATTACATCTTTTGCCGAAGGGGGAGGGCTCTCTTTTGAAATGAGCCTTTTCAAGTAAAGTTTATATATTTTAATTAATTACATCAAATTGCTTTCGTTAAGGCGTTATACACGATGAGTATGTCGATTTGATTTTTGATATTACATGTATAAATTGAAAATCCGACGCTGATACAACCCATTGTCGGAAGAATTTGGAACAGTGCATACACAATCTGTCCGAATTGGTCGGATTAAATTATACATGTATTTATGTCGTTGAAGTTTAAAGGCCAGATTGAGACCTATTTTCGGTTAAAATGAACAGAGTGGTTTGTAAGATTATTATCATTTTCTTTATAAGTTTTCTAAACTACTCTACTTCTAATTATCTGCCATGGCACACTGCAGTGGTTCTAATTTCAAACTTGGAACTTTAAAGAACAATATTTATAGACTTTTAAAGTTTAAATGACACACATCATGTATTCATATGGCACACAAAATGTACATATCTTCTTGTTTAAATGACACACATCAAAACGCAGACCCCCCTGGTGTATGTCATATGGCACACAAAATGTTTTTGACATATTTAGTTTAGTTTTTTTTTTTTTTTTTTTTTTGCTTGTCAAGAAATTTCTGGGATTGGATTTTTTTTGACTGAGGTGGACCCCCCTGGAAAAAATTTCTGGATCCGCGCCTGTACTTGTACATATTTACATGTACATCTTTATATCCCTTGACAATATAATGATATTTAATAATCGACGGACAAAAAAGGTGCAATAAATAATCAAAGTAACAATGACCTTTTTTCAAATATTTTTTTTTTAATTCTTCTTTTTTTTCCTATTTGAAAAGACAAACAACATATATTTCGCTGGCTTAATGCAGATAAAGCAGTTACCTAGGTCGTATTGACATCTTGCTATGGGGTCATTGTAATTTTCACCCCCAGCTATATATTTTTAAAATAAAAATCCTTTAGTTAAAGTTCTATATTCAGGATTCATGCTGTTGCGGCTTTCAGTTCGTCAATTCTTCAAATATTTACTATATGTTGGTGTTTAAAATTAATGCATGTTAAATTATAGTTCACAATCATTAGCAAGCCAGAGAGAGAGAGAGAGAGAGAGAGAGATTTAAAGTTAATATTATATGAAATGAAAGATTGTAATTTAAATAACTGATCATTATAAAGGCATTCTTTATTGTATGGGCACCTGTTTCTGATTTTTATGTTTAGGAGAAAAAAATGTAAACATTTCCTAAAAAATAATTATTATATCGGTCTAAAATTCAAATTGCATGGGTTATATAATAAATAGATTTGAGATGTTCTTAAATACAAAATTTACAACACCACACATTATTTCCACTCCATGTGCATTGAAAAAGTCTCAGAAAGCCTAAAGCTATGAAACACTATTATAAAACCAACGATACTCACCAAAGTGTTGTAACAAATACGTGTATTTTATCAGAAATATAGATATATTTTTAAAACTAAAAAAAAAATAATTTAAAAAAAAAAGGGAGGGGTGGATCTAAAAACGAGCAAATAAAAATCATGATATGACAAGAACAAAGGTCTTATTATATCAACACATAACGAAACGTTGGCTACACCCCCCCCCCCCCTCCTTTCCAAACAACAACAACCTGCCAGTGAGTGGAATATATAATGCATTAGGTAAAACCAAATTTGTTTTACATGCTTCCATTTATTTTATTTAGTTTATTTTATTTAGAATTTAAATCGTGAGAATAAACGCGTACAAATACGTGTAGACTAGTCGATCCGCCACAGAAATTTCCAAGTCTACTAACCACAGTTATCTTCTCTTTCAAGTGAACAGGTAAATAAACTTCAAATACTTTGCATAACCCTGCACCTACTGTATATAAATTTTTACCTGTATGCGACATTTTATCTACTCCCGACAGGTAGGTTATGTTTACCCTTCTTTGTGTTTCACAAAATCAGTATTTACTGTTTTTAACATTTGCTCTGATATTTTATTTCAGGTAGTAGATACCAAATTTTTCTTTTTTTAGTACAATTTATTCAGGTGTAGTCAGACACACTTTACAGGTGTGGCACGAAAGAAATTAGCTACAGTAGATCACTTCTCCTTCTACTGTCAGACTACCGTGTTCAATCACTGTCACGGAATACTTACTATTTATCTAAGAAACAAAACTGTCTTATGAAATATTGACACAATATGCATTAATTTTGTTTCTGATGCTAGGATGAGCAAGTCATATAACTTAGAACCTCTGGCCTACAAACCCACCCCAGAGAATAGCTACCCAAGCGAGAAGTCCCAACAATACGATGTCAGGTACGATTTTCTTAACATAACTTTGCAAATGTAGGAAAATATTGTGACGATGAAAATGATTAACTTGAAAATGGCAAAATGAATTGTGTACAACACTCTGCTGTTCATGCATTTTGCTGCTCTCTAGCTTTAGAATGATGTTGTTTATGCTTCATTAGTTGTTTGTCACAGAGAGCAAGAAGTTTGCCCTCATGACAACTTTGTGTGTCGTTTAATTTGTCATTCAAAATATCGGGGAGTTGTGAACTACATTGTAGTTCTAGTTTTCTGAGCACCCCCTCTGTTTTATTGCTTTACCTGTCTATTTTGGTAGACTATATACCTAGTACACCTGAGCTATTCACCTTGGTGTACGAAAGGAAGGACGTCAAACGTGCATAGATAAAGATAACTTTTATTTGGGTTCAAATGACACTCGGTAAAAAAAAATCACAATAGTAGAAGAAAAACATTCAAAAGAAATCCAATATAAAATTTCCACATCAGAACAATCCTCGTGGTACATGCCGCCTCTTCAGATTCGAAAGTGTAGCATCTGTCCTCATTTGAGGGTACTCGGATTCTCTGGCCGAAGCGTTGGTGAAGCTTCTAACTCGCTTATCTAAAAAAATAATTAAACGTACATAGTAAATGTATATCCCAATTTTTCAAAAATAAAATCTAAGACAATTTCATTTGATTAAATCTGTGTGTTGAAAACTTGCAGATACATGTATCAATATAAACACTTACTTCCGTTTCTTGAAAACATGGTTCCATTAACAGCATTTCCACAGTGCGCATTATTTCCTTGTGCACGACGTGTTGATGAATACTGCTGATGCATTCCGATTGGAGGTAGGTTCGGAGAACTTTGGGAATCAGAGATGCGCCTCTTGTTCTGGGAAGTGTTTGGATTGTTAACTTGCAAAACTTGAGTACTTCCGTTGTAAATACTAGGGAGGGTAACGCCTAGTTCTGATGGCTGCTGAGTGTTCTCTGCCGATTTTATTGACTTTTTAAGATGTCTGATCTCTTTCACAAGCCTATTACGTTCACGCAGATCAATTAGTTCCTCTTCCATTTTGGAAATCTTGGATCTAGTAACTGCACACTCTTCACGCAACATCTATTTTAAAAAATTCAATTCTTTAAAATATGATTTTAATAAAAATGTGGTAAGAAAAAGAATAAATATGCAATACGCGCAAGAACAATTGATTTTAAAGTATGCATTGAAACTGAACGATAAAATGAGAGAGTATATACCACAATTTCTGTTGTCGTTTTGGGGTTGTCAGCTCGAATCCGTCTAACGTCTCTTCGCATCTCTGCGATTTCTAATGTTGTCCTGGTGTAGAATTCATACAAAAGATCTTCTGGACTGAAAACAATAAATTAATCTCTGCTGAAAGATGCATTTCAAAAATACGCACAGATTTTTTTTCCTTGTATATTTGTATAATGAAAACATGACGTTCATGTGTACACATTTTATTTGATGAATACACATTATGATTTTATGGAAGTCGCTGTTATCAAATTTATACAAAGATTTTTCTTTAATTTTTAAATAAATTGTATATCTTATATAATACTACAGGTAACTTACGAAAACTCCCCAAGATCTGCAGTCATAAGTGCATGAACATCTATCTCTCCATTGTTTTTAATGAACGTTTCAAGTCGAAATGGAAACTCATCGGAGCCAATTTTAATCATCTTCTCCTCTCAATCTGTGAAATGGGAATACTCAGTACATTTAAAATATTAAAAACAGACTTTCAACGAAAAGGAACAAACTTCAAGAAATTGAGTGCCTTGGAACTTTCTTGCAGATCGGCGAAGAAATACAAATTACACTTAAAGGCAAACACAATCAATATACTTATATAATTAAACTATTAAAGAAACAATAGTAAAATGTTAAATAAACTCACCCTTAAAACACCAAAAGCTAAAATTTTGTAGAGGTATTTGTTTTTACCGCAAACACAGCGAAATGATTTCGTTGTTGAGTGTGACGTAACAATTAACAACGTCATAATAAGCAAACTGATTGTGACGTCATCGAGCACGATTTATGAAATTTACTCAATAGATAGTTCTGCCCATTGTCCATTCTGAAAAGAAACAAACCATTGATTTTGTGTATACCTACGAATTACGTATATCAGCTTAAAAGAAAATATGTACTAATATACTCTCTTAAATTTAATTAATTTTGTGTTATTAATTTGTGAATATCCCACATGCTGTAAACAACATAAAACAATGAATTTTCTGTCCTTATGTCTGCAATCGCAGTTGCACTCCTTATTAACTACGTATACATCTTTAAAGATATGCAATTTTTATTGAATTTACACATTCAAAGCTGTGGGTAGTTGACATGTTCATTTGCATTTTTATTTTCAAAGAATTAAATTCTATTTTACAAGATTATGACAGATAAACGAACGTTTCCATCTCCAAGTTTATAGTGTGTATGAATTACACAGTCTGGATTTGACACCCGACTTTGACTATGTAAGCTTGATATCGATGAATATTTTTAAGGGGGTTGGAGGGGGAATATCTTTTCAATGACAATCACCGCTCTTATCAGTATCGGTTACTTACTGAAGGAATTTGTGCATAAGTAAGGGGGAATTGTAGAAATATCTCACATATTTACTACAATTTATCTTAGATTTTGAGGTTTGACGCATTAACTGTTACGATAGACAAACACTTTATATGTGATAACGTAAAGATTAAACACACAAGATAGCAAATAGGCCATTTGTGAATTTGAAACCGGTCGTAAGATTGTAGACGTCTGCAATAAAAAGTTGGAAGACATTGTTAGGTTTCTAAGATATCGTTTGTCTTGTGTATAAGTCAAACAGATTTAAGGCTGGTCTAGACCGACAACATGGCTGAGATATCTACGGTCTCATTTTCTAACGAAAAAAGCTCGTAAGTAATTACATGTATTATCGTTTTACTTTTAGAATTAGTCTGGGAGATTATTGAAGATTATTATTTCATTTTTTATTATTTTTAAGGATAACCTTATAGTTATTAAGTTGAAGATTGTTGTTTTCGTTAGATTTCACAGATGTCCTCCTGAAATATTTTTTATGGTAACGATATTATATTTTTTATAACATATTCATTATGCTCATTATCATGTTATGTGCATTACAATAATCGATGATTTGATAGACTAGTCCATCTTAATTCCCATATCATGATCAACACCCGATGTCACCAAACCTCGACTGATCGAAGATTACCACATATTTAAATTCCAAATTAGGGGAAAGGCGGCTCTAAAAAAGGGGCCTATCTTGGTAACCCCAGGTAATCTTGAAAGGTGAATCTAAAATAAAACTGTATCATTTACAGCTCCCCAGAAAGCATCGATGTCAAACTCTCGGACAATAACACCACTAGTGGCACCCCGTTTAGGGGAATGGGAAAAGAAGAGCTATTGCAGTACTCGTCAAAACCATTTTGGAGACGACTGCGCATGATCTGTATCTCTATCATACTTTTGGGATGGTTGGCGCTGATTATTACGGTGGTGGCGCTCGTGTTGATTTACCCGAAATGCAAGTCTCCAGATTCCAGGACCTGGTGGCAAAACGAGGTCGTCTATCGGATATACGTCCGGAGCTTCAAAGACAGCAATGGTGACGGGGTTGGTGATCTTGATGGTAAATATTTTCATTTACATGGAATACATATTCATACATGTATAATTATTCAAAACGCAAAGTACTGATGTAACAAATAACCACCATGTCATTTAAGACTAGGAATTCTTAATCTTTATTATTTTCCTACATTAGGAATATTTTAGCATACTTCGGCCATCATATAAAATTTCCGGTTAAAAGGAAATCCTTATTCTAAACATTGTAACTTTATTTAGCTTTCGTCTTAACATATTCATCAAAAACTTATATAAGTATTTATTTTCATGCAGGTGTGACGTCCAAGTTGGACTACATAAAAGATCTGGGTGCTGGCGTCATTTCTTTAAGTCCGACTTACGAAGACGACGGAAGTGATGGAGATTTTCATCTGACCAATCACATGAAGATTGATAGTGCCATTGGTGGAGATCAAGGTCTACAAACACTGATCACTAAAGCTCACGAAAAAGGTACCAATGTTATAACATTACGGATCAGTCCATAGCTTTAAGTTTTCAAATAAAGACAATCCTTGAAGCACTTAAATTAATGCACAGCTGTACGTATATTGATTTTATGAATGAAATGGAAAGGATTATTAAGATTGTAATATTTTTGCTTGTGTGATACGATTCAATAGCTGTTTTAGAGAATTAATCTGATAAAAGATCCCAATCCCAGGCGACAAATGTAAGTTGGTGTCACTGTTGGAAGTTTTATTTTTGTCATTTTTTTTCAATATTTATAGGATTGAAAGTCTTATTGGACTTTATCCCAACGCACACCAGCGATCAGAGTGTTTGGTTCAAAGAGAGTGAAGCAGCCAAGCTAAGAAATAATTCGTACCGTAACTTCTATGTATGGACAAACACACCAACAAACTGGGTCAGTATGGTGGGAGATTTGTTCAAACCTGTTACGCCTTGCTTCAAATCATGGGGCATGTTTAATTATCCGAAAAATTAAATTTCAATTTTTGAACCATTTTTACAATTTTACAATGTTTTAGAAGTCCAGTATTTGCATTCCAAACAAAGAAATCTGATAGGTTACACATCTCTTTGTAAGAGGAGAGAGAGAGAGAGAGAGAGAGAGAGAGTACATGTATTTAACAACTGTAATCTTATTGCAGAAATCTGTGTATGGTGGCGATGCCTGGAACGAATCCTCTGTTAGAACAGGAGAATATTATCTCCATCACTTTCTCCATAATCAACCTGACCTTAACCTGCGTAGTCCACAGGTCAAGGCCAAGCTCAATGTACGTCTGCTGTATGGCAATGACTTGTTAATATGACCATCCGAATGACGGTGCGTGATAAGAAATCAAAATTTAAAGTTTTTTCTTCCTTTTTTGAATTCAGGAAATCCTAGTGCATTGGTTGAACCAGTCTGTGGACGGGTTTTACATTAGGAACAGTGCCTATATGTTTGAGGACTATGATCTTCGTGATGAACCCAAACGGTCGTCTGGTGACGTTAGTATAATCTGTTTGCATGTGGCTGTGGCTACAAAATACACTTTGCTAGAGAAATTAAGAACTTATGCGAATTTCATTTCAAGTTTATAATCTTATCTTTGTATTTCAGGGATACAACGACTATAATCACATATACACGAAGAACCTTCCGGAAATTTACGATATGTTTGCAAGATGGCGCACAACAGTTGACACACAAATGAATAGGTACAAAACTACAACCTACACATATTGTAACAGTTTTTCTATTGTAATAATACGTCTCCTTGAAGGATCACTAATGGTTGTATATTTTTGAAAATGAAGCTTTCTCTTGTTTTCTTTACAGGGTTTTAATGGCGGACCCAGATCCTAAATCTGCTGTTACGGAAATGATGAAATATTACGGACATTTCCAGAGAGATGGTGTTCATCTCCCCATCAGAAGAAGACCGTTCCCCTCTAATTGTAATGGTCAGTGCGTCGGCAACTACGTCAATGAATGGATGAACAATCTGCCCTCGGGTCGTTGGCCCACCTGGTCGGTATGTACAGGATATTTTTACTAAGTTTGGAGATTAGGCGTCTTCGCTTTTCAAGGGTAACGATCCGCTCTTCTCTATTCACATCAGAGAAGAGAGCGGATCGTCACACTTGGCTAGCGAAGATAGAAATTATTTTGGGTATAAGTCTGTTTTGAGGAAAAATTAATAAAAATCTGGTGTTATATTTTTTTGTAGTTTGGTGATGAAAGTGTAAAACGGCTGGCATCCAATCACAATGAAAGTTTTATTCGCGCCTTTGCCATGTTGACGATGCTTTTGCCCGGTACTCCTGTCTTGTACTATGGTGATGAAATCAACATGATGGACGTGACTGCAAATGCTTCACTAACTTCGCGGAAACATCCATCCAGGGGACTTATGCAATGGGATAACACAGATAATGGAGGATTCAGTAATTCATCATCCCCTTGGATAGCACCGAGTTCCGACTTCCGAATGAACAATGTCAAGGTATATTTAAAGAAACCCCTTAAGAAACTCGTGCTTGCAACTTCACAATATTCTTTGCTTCATGTGAAGAACAGTAATGCAATTTCCTTTTCCTGATATGCAATACTGGACGTAATATTTGTTTCTTGACCTATCTCTTACAGAATCAAAGTTCAAAGGGTGACTCCCTTCTGTCATTTTTCAAAAACCTTACCACTCTTAGAAGAGAAGATAGTTTCCGTATAGGAGAGTACCACTCAGCACTTGTAGATAATAGTATCTTCTCGTTTGTCCGAGAATTCGATGGAAAGAAAGGGTAAGTCCACAAATGCTTAATTTCATATCAAAGAAATTAACTACTGGGGAGTATACTGTTCGTTCATACATGATTACCAAATTAATGAAATTGATCTTGGTGCAATATGTTTGCAGGTACTTGGTTGCAATTAATTTTGCGGAAACTGCACAAAAACGTGACTACACTTCATCTCACAGCACTATACAAACTAAGGCATCTTTTGATTTGACGACGGGCGGATCAGAAAGTTTTGATGCCGACACCGACGTAGACCCGAGCAGTCTCACCCTTGGACCAATGCAAGGAGTAGTAGTCTCATGGGATTATGTTGCAAAAGAACTTTGAAATCATTAATCATTTACTTCTTTTATGTTTTCAATCGTATACAAGAAAAAATATATATATATATTAACCAAGAATACCAAATGTCAGATCAATAAATGATTCTTTTCTTCCCTCAAACTGAAAATAAATAAACATTTTTTTTTCATACACGCAGACTTTTTATTCTCGCTACTGTAGATTCGGTCAATAAATTTCAGTACAATTTCTCAATATGCCTTTATTGTGCACAACGATGTTATAAGAGATAGAACATGAAAAATATTTTGCCATGTACTTATACAATTGGAATGACAACTAAATATTTATAGTTAGTTTATAGTATGATCAAACGTTTTAAGTACTACCGAATGTATATCTAATTCCAAAAGTACTAGTATAATGGCGGAAACTTTTATTTTGTTCTAATAAATGTTCGGTATAAGCGTCCATTGGACGTTCCAATCCATAGTTTGTTATCATCAACACATAGTGACCAAGGAGAGAAAAATCTCTCCATATCGTTCTCGATGAAACGAATGAATTTTCCACCTGCATCCACAACGTGAATGACGTTGTTCCTTGCATCCGAAATGTAAACATTGCTATCTTTATCGCAAGCTAGACCCTGCGCTGCCATAAGTCTTGGATACTTTGGAGACACATGTCCTCTATAGGAACAAATCTCTTCGCCGTCTTTCTTCATCCAAACCACTCTGTCATCGAGGTCAATAAAATCAATAACGACGATGTCTCCCTTGTTATTCTCCAGTGCTCTATATGGTCTGTTCAAAGTCCGTTTTCCTTGGAAGTATTCAACTTTCTTCAGTACTCGTCCAGTGAAGGATAAGATGTAAACAGCGCGTGTGCTCTCTTCTGTTGCTTCTAACTCGTCACCCTCGACGACGGATACAAGAATCGATCCATTCGACGTCTTCCATACACTGACAGGATACAACGGGGATAAATCTGTAAACGTCGCCATTTTGCCGTGATGATTGACGATTTTGATGGCACCTGTGTTCACAAATGTAACCAGCGTGCTCTTGTTATCGTAACAACAAATATCGGTGACGTATTTGTCAAACTCAACAGGTTCCTTTACGTCTAGTTTTCTTCCATGTTTGATGAAGATCTTTTGAATCCCTTTCGCTGTGCGTGGATCTCTAACGGTAATTGATTGGTCAGCACCTATAGATAGGCAACTTATTCCGACTTTGCATAGATTGTACCTATCCATTTCGTCGTTTGGAATCTTTGTTTGATTACTTTTTGGCCTGACAGGTTCCTCAATTGTTTCGTCTTTCTCGTCTACGGTTTCATCTTTAACGATGCTTGTACATATCATTTTGCTAAGAAGGGATCTGTTAATTTGACCCTTTTCAAATTCAATCGGGTGAATGTTTGGCTCATTTGGTAACACCATTCCTTCTTTTAAATGTGTCATTTTCTCTTTAGCTTGATACAAATGATAAACAGATTCGTCTAAGTTGTTTTCACACAGTGAGATGGCTTCATTTACAATGTTCAATGCTTCATTGATATGCTTTTCAGTTTTTCTTATTTCAGATTCGTTCTTAGTATTAATACTTTTAAAATCATCTGCAATACAGTCTGCTTCGCTTTTAACATCTGCAATAAGCTTTTCAACGTGCTCATTCAATTCATCGTATGCATTATTCAGTCCCATCTCTGAAGACTTTCTCTTAGAAGAACAGATTTGGAGCAATGCCTTCAGCTCCAGAATATGAGTTTTCTTAACTTCCAAAACCTCTTGTACTAACCTTTGTTTTTCAGATTTTATGTACTGTTCCAATTTAATCAACTCGTGCGTTTTATGAGTACCCAGAATGCAGTCACTGCAAATTGGCTTTGAGCATGTGTTGCAGTGAAAAATCAGAAACTCCTCGTGTTCCCTGCACGTTTCTCGAATTCTTGATACTGATAACGAACTTCCAACGCTAGGAGAGCGGTTGGAGGGTCCAGGAGATAACTTTTTCGCGGTTGAACGCTTCGGTGTCAAGTCACTAGTACTTTTACTGAAGCTTTTTACTTCCACGACAGTGTGAGCTTTTGTTGATTTGTTCTTTGAATGCACAAACTTACAGTTGTAACACAATATCTTTTTGCAGTTCGTACAATTCCACCTCATGTTCGTTTTGCGATGACAGTTCTCACAATGTCGAGGTGTCTTTGTTTCGTCCAAAGATCCCTTTTCTGCTATCGGTCCATCTTGTGCATCCATATTGATAAAAATTTCGAGTATTTTTCTTCTGACAAAAGAGTTACTGTTCGCTTTTTTATAATATTTAATTATCTCGTAAAAGTTTCCTCGTGTTTACATGCATCACTAGCTAGATACTGGTATTTGGTTTCCTAACGCTTTTGTTTTAATAAAGAGACCTTCATGAAGACTTTGTTTTAAAGCACTCTCCAAATCAGTGGTTATGCTATCAGAAAAGAAAGCAAAACTTATTCGGCCTTTTTAAAATTAATTTCAACATACTGGCATTAACTGTAAGATACAGAAAATGGCAGGGAAAATACCAAAGTCCTTAAACGCTGCATCCCTAGTCTGTAAATGTGACTTGTGCTTAAAATTTCACAATATGAATTTAAGCTGGACATGTTTAGACTGTGAAGAGACGTTGTGCGATGCGTGTAAAGCAGTTCATCAAAGGGGGAAAGCAACGAAAACGCACAAAATTTTGACAACCAAAGACTTCATAGATGCGCAAGAACGCGGGGTGAAAATAAGGGCGGGAAAGAAAAGACGTGATGGGTCATGTGATCAACATGAAGAAGAGGCTTATCAGTTTCACTGCAACACGTGCTACAAACCTATCTGTGCAAGATGTGTGGTTGGTGCGCATAAACTTCATGACTTTATTAAATTGGATGATTTCATAGAAAGTGGGAAAGAAAAAATACTCAATGATATTCTCTATCTAAAAGAAGAAACTGTACCGTTGTTGAAGGAGAATTCGGGTATCTGCACGCAGAAGCACGAGGAATCTGAAAGAGAGCTGACAGATGCTCTAATTACTTTGAACGATATTTCAAGCAAAATTGAAAAAGAAGTCAGTAGGATAAAAGAGGAAATAGAAGGTGAATTAAAATCTGTTCACAGTCAAAATGAAACTAACATTATGAATTCAAAGAGTTCTTTCGATTCAGTCGCCAAAGCTGTAATGAATGGTGTGAAAAAGTGCGAGGATAGTCCAAAGGGATCTTTCAAGTACATCTACGAATCTAATGAGAGACTGGAAAATGTTTGGGCTTTGCTGAAAACTCCCATTCTGCCGCATGTTGTACACATCACCTTCTTCAAAGGCGAAGTAGATTCTAACGCATTGCAGAGAATGGTTGGTATGAGTTCAAAGACCTATGAGGCGGAAGTTCTGGAAATGACAAATATGCAGGAAGGCGGATGGGGAACTTTTAGTAAATTCAAGCTTTGTCAAACAGGAATAAGTGCCATTTCACTTTTGAATGACAATATGGCGATGGTTCGGGAGCCTGGAACCGGTAAGGGAATCCAACGCCTGAAAATTAAAGATGGCCGGAGTCATGACGTCACTGAACCTATCAATTTGCCACACCTTGTGACTGATCTATGCTCATTTAACCACAAGGTAACACTCGTCACTTTTGAGGGAGAAACGTATATTCAAATGGTTTATTCTGACGGGAAAACTACCACGTTTGCAAATTTGGGTCCCTTGTTTCCTATTGGTCTGTGTAAATCTCCAAGCGGGGAAATCCTGGTCACAGTCGTGGAAAGTGACGACAGAAAAGTCACTGAAAAGAGCGCACGCGCAGTATACACTTTATCCTATTCCGGTCGCGTTCTCAAAAAAATCGAGTTCTACAAAGGCAACAGGATTTTTACATGGCCATACAAAGTAATAGAAAATCAAATAAATGGAGATCTCTTGGTCATTGATTTAATGGAGTCAACAGATCGTGTTGTCTGCGTAAATCGTGAGGGCAATGAAATTTTCTCTTACTCTGGAAAAATTTGTCCAAAGTATCCCAGGTTATTGGCTGCTCAAGGTATTGCGTATGACAAGCACAGTAATGTTTATATATCTGATGCAAGAAATTCCGTCATTCACGTCATAAGTCAAGAAGGGAATTTCTTGAGATTTGTGGAAAATAATTTCGAACGCTTCTATTCACCATGGGCTTTGGCAGTGGATGAAAAAAATCGTTTGTGGATCGGGACCTTAAACGGGAACATATATCTTGTGCTTCTGGATGTTTTGTAAAATCGTTCTATGTTGTTTTTTTCATCACTTTATCGCAAATCAGAATGAAAACACTTTACACCATACTTATGATACAAGTTTTAATTATTTTAGTGTTACATGTAGTGATTATTATGTTTTAGCTAAAAAAATAAAGACATTTTTAAAATCTTTTTTATCGACCACATAATCAAAGATTAGGGTATGTAGTTTGTGTTCTGTCCGTTTGCCTGTGTGTCTGTCTGTCTGTCTGCCTAGCTATAACTTTTGTTTTGTTGTAGCTATGGCATTCCGATTTCACATGTGTGTTTTCCTTGTGACAGCAAGATAAAATACCAAAATATTTGATCTCTTAGCCTTGGAGTTTGACCCATCTTTGGTATTTACATTTCACATGACCTGCGTTTTCCTTGTGACAAGGCCTTTCTTTGGGTACCAACATACTTGATCTCTTGGCCGAGTTTGACCCACTTTTGCAAGAATTTCATAATTTTTAAACAGTTGGTGGAAGGTTTTTTCATGCTTCACATGTGTATTCATTGTGATTAAGACCTTGGAACCTTGACCTTTAAATTTTTAAAAAAATATATATAATCGGGGAAATAACCTTTGAACTTTTAGTATTAGGGCTTTCGAAGTTGTACTCCGTGTGGGAAGGCTTTCCTTTGGATACCAACAATTTTGACCTTGACTTTGGAGTTTGATTTACTTTTAATAAACTTTAAACTTGATGCCACCGTGAGACAACTTTTTGCGAAGGTTGAAATCTCAAATGCAAGTCATACTCCGAGGTGAAGAGAAATCTTGTTACCCCCAAAAGGAATTGTACCATTGAACATACTAGCCCAAGCACTCACCATTTAAAGTTGTTATTAACGTTTTTTGAATGTTTGAATGTGGGTGAAACTCTAGGGTCAAGATCAAAGGGTCAAATAGTAGCAATGAAAAAGGCTTTGTCATGAGAAATACACATATGAAATATTAAAGCCCTAAAAAAAGAAATTCAAACTCCAATATAAAGGTCAAAATTGTTGGTATCCAAGAAAGGCCTTGTCACATGTGAAAAAACTGTGAAATATGAAGGCCCTATTAATTATTTAAATATACATACAGCTTGTTTATGTTTTTTGAAAGTGGGTCAAGCTCAAAGGTCAAGGTCAAAAGTTAAAAAACATTCATATCCATGGAAAGGTATTGTCACAATCAATATGCCTGTAAAATAGGATAGTCCTTGCACCAACTGTTCTAAGTTATGGAAAAAAATTAAGTTCGGTTCATTCTTGCAAAATTGGGTTAAACGTCAAGGTCAAGAGGTCAATATTTTGGTACCCCAAAAAAGGTCTTATCACAATGAATACACATTTAAAATATGAGTGCTCTGGAACCAATCAAAAGTTATGTACTTGTGGACAAATTTTATAAACAAACAGACAGACGAACGGACAGGTCAAAAAAAGTTCTACAGTTGTATATACCCCCGGATCTTCGATTACAGGGGGTATAAAAATACCAGGTTTTTGTCAATCATTATCAATTGTTAAATAAAGGGGATATCAGAATTAATATGGTTTCTTATCTAAATTGGCATTGCCAGGGACCTATATACTTAGTATATAGGTCCCTGGCATTGCGAAGGAAAACGACCCATACGGTCTTCCGTAATGATCTTGGCTGGTTCACTGTCATCGTAGAGCCACGACACCAGTTTAGGATGGCTCGTGTCGAGATGTTCTCGCGCAGCATCAGGCTGACAGATGTAAGTGAGATTTATTTGTTTTGAATGTAATATTGATAATTTTATTGAAGAAAATCATTTATTTTTGTTGTTTTGTGTCATGGTGATTTTAGGTTCCTAGCTGACAAATTATTGAACATGTTCTCACATATTGTATTTCCATGTGATGATGCAAACGTTAGCTGTTCACTATTATCAATATAGCACAGTGATTTTGTTTTTAATCTTGGAGTATGTGTGAAATTTATGCCTTTAAAATGTGGATTGCATTTCTGTGAAAACTATTTATTACATTATTACATAACCATGATTACATTGACAAGATATTGAAGATAAGAGAAAAAAATCCTTAAAGGGAGTTCACTCTTATCTGTATGTGTTACATAAATAAATATTCACATGAAATAGATCCGCCTCAGTTGATATCAGAGATTTTATTTCAATATCAGCTTGGTAGAATATTAAATGACTGTCAACAGCAAAAACATGTCATTAGTGTAACATTTTTGGCATATGGCCTTCATAAGTTAGATTATATCAATGCCACAGATCACATGACACATCACTGTGAAGTCTGAAACTATGTATGTATGTTAATTAATAAACATTTGTTACATTGACTTACATTGTGTAACAAAAAGTCACAAATTAATGAACTTGTCACACTGACAGAACTTCCATGATACAGGAAACAGCAATCTAAAAGTTGCATATGTTGTTTGTACTAACCGCTTTCACTAACATGAGTAGATCCTATGATCATCACAATGAATTTTTTAAAAATTACATGTATGTACGTATTTCTTGAATGTATATTAGGCTTCAAAAACTCGCGAGAATCAAGTCTTTATGCATGACATTACAGATTGTGGGGGCATTAATTAATACTACAGAATAAAAAGAATCAAAATTAATAAAATTTATAATATTTTGACAGGGCAAGATTTGAACTGTTATGAAACATGTAATTAAAAAATTTAATTAAACACACATTGAATACATGAAAAATTTATTGGACACTTATGTTCTTAATCTGTGAGAGTGGAAATATACTCAATTCTTACACTCTTGAAATTTAATTATGAACAAGATTAAGTTAAAATAAAACTTCAAGGTCAGCATGGTGTCAAAAATCATACTATATTCTGAAAGGTCTTGTGATCATGGTCATACATAACATCATGCAAATTAGCCCTGTCTCTTTTTTAAAATACAGAGATAAAGAATTAGTTTTTGAAATTTGCTAAGTTGGTCAAACTTTTAGGTCATTGTTTTCAGGTAAAACATCATAGACTTCATTTGAAAAGCTCTTAATTCTCATAGATATTAAATGCACTTGTGAAATTCGAAAACCTTCTTATTTTCTCTCAAACTTATCACATAAAATGTACAAATATTTGTAACAGAATGGCAGACAGACAGACAGACAAACAAATGAGATTTAATGTCCCTCTGCTTTCTCTGAAGATGAAAAAAAAAAAATTTTTGAATCAAGGGGATATATTTTTGATTAAATAAATATAATAATCTAAAACATTGCTTTGTTAGATGCTGTCTAGAAGACTTGTGTCCAGGCAAGCCTTACGGTCCGTGTGGACTGGGAGAGAGAGCCTTGAAGAGGATGACCCTGAGGTGATGGCCATCATAAAACAGGAGAAAAAGAGACAGCTTCATGGTCTGGAACTGATCGCTTCAGAGGTGTGTGTCTAAGGCTACAGGTGGTTCATGCTATTTATAGATCATGGGGTTGTCTCTAAGAATTAAAATAGCAGGGGACATTTAAAAATAGAAAGGGACTACGGTTCCTCCCTCTGACAGAGGGTTGACGGGGAGTGTATCAGAGTAACCGGGGTATTATGTCATTTAGGTGGCCCAAAGGGTCTTGGAATAACCCTGTAGACCTTTAGAGAAATTGTTTTCAAATTGATAATTTTAGTCTGTATGCCAATGCAATTAGGTTTAGCTTTTATAGTCCCCAGTTTAAAAGGTTTGATATAATGTTTAGGAAAATCACTGAAAAGTAGAAAAGAAGTTGAAATAGACAAATAATCAACTTACTTAAGAGCACAACAACCTGTTACATCAAGTAGTCATTTGAAGTAAATGTCTGGGTTGCATTTATGCTACTAGGCTGTCTGGCCCACAAATTATCGTATCTAAATTGTAAGCTAATTAAAAAATTGGAAAAATGTGTCTTGAAAATCTGCAGCTGCTATGTTCAACTGATACATTGAGAAGCTAAGAAATACCTAAGGTAACTAAATCCTTGAATACTTTGAGAGAAAAAAACATATGTGTTATAAACATATAGGCCAGACTCTCCTAAACTCTTTAAAAAAAGTTGATTTCTACAAAACACATATGCTGCACACGGATCAGATTATTTGTAGTGTATATACATATTTTTAGAGTAAATTTTCATTGCAAATTGCTTTAATCAATTGCTTTTTTTGTGTGTGACATATTATATTTGTTGTAAAATGTTTGTGGCTGGATCTTTGATATTTACAAATTATGACAGCTTTGTTAATTTTAAAAATCATTTGCAGGAAACAGAATAAATAAATATTCCTGTACTTCCTTGTTTCATTTCCTTGAGAGAATTTTGAAACCTTAATTAATTTACCATACCTGGTGATTATTACAAGTTTTCAGACACATGATTATTCCTGTAAAGAGTATAGTTAAAACCCATAGCTATGTAGGACATTGTTTTCAAATACACAGTTTTGGCCTGAAATTGATCAAGACAAATATAATATTGTGAATTTACATATACAAAACAGTGTAAAACATGAATAAACATTAGTAAATGATGATAATAAGAATCTTCCATGGTTTGTATTTAGATATGATTTTTTTATGCAAATCACTATGTGTTTTAATATACTCATGCAAAGGCATCAGGGATAGAAAACAACTTGTTCGATAAAAAAACCATATACAACCACACAAACCAAAGAATCATTGGTGATCCTAAATATAGTCATAAATCTCTAGCTAACTGATATATGATATGTAGAAGCCTTAAAAAATACTCATGGTTTCCAACTATTCTGATTTTAGAATTTTGCGAGTCGAGCTGTCATAGAGGCTTTAGGATCTTGTCTGACAAATAAATATTCTGAAGGTTATCCAGGTGCTAGGTAAGTCTTCATGAAGATCTTTCTATTTCTTTCTCAATTACTTCATTTTGATTTAAATTATGGTTACTTGTATTGTTTTTCATAGAGCAGAAAACTCTAACTTATAAATTGTTGTCAGTTTTAATTATTCATTCTTTGCTCAATGCATTTAACAATATTATGGTTATGGTTTAAGAATTAAGTGTATGATAAACTGTGATATTTTCTGTTGTAGGTACTATGGAGGGAATTTATTTATTGATAAGATAGAGAGTCTCTGTCAGACGAGAGCTCTGGAGGCGTTCCGGCTGGACCCTCACCTGTGGGGGGTCAATGTCCAGCCCTACTCCGGGAGTCCAGCCAACTTCGAGGCCTTCACTGCCCTACTGAAGCCACACGACAGAATCATGGGTTTGGATCTACCCGATGGTGGACAGTATGTTTCTTTCTAGCCATGTTTTTATAATGCTGTTTGCTAATACATAGTGTAACAAAATTTCTTGACATTTGATAAAATAAAAAAATTATCCTGACATGAGTTGTCTTTCTTGTCAGAGTGTCATTGAACCTTAAATACTGTACCGGTACCTACATTTATAATATTTTGTTCTCCTAGTTTGACCCATGGATTCATGACTGACACGAAAAGGATTTCAGCTACCTCAGTATTCTTCGAATCCATGCCATACAGACTTAATGTAAGTCCAAACTCTGCATATTAAGAATAAATCTTGCAACATTTCAATCTAATAGTTCTAATCAATTACTATGATATCTTACAATTGCATTATAAATATCTGAAAAACACCTTGAACTAATTATGCTCATGTCATTTCGTCTTTGCAGCCCCAAACAGGTTACATTGACTACGACAAACTCAGGGACACTGCTCATCTATTCCGTCCAAAGCTTATCATTGCTGGAACCACTGCCTACTCTAGATTGCTGGACTATAAAGCTTACAGAGAAGTAAGATTGATAGCTGTCAACTAAATTATAGACACTGAGGACTGACGTAGCTTAATTCTAGAAAATAATGATTAATTAACTAATAATATCTTATGGGCACTTTTAAAGTGGACTAAACAAAGTTAATTCCTTGATAAACAAGAATGTATTATAATTCATCAACATGTGTTAACTTTAAGATATTTTGAATCCCTTTGTTGTGTTCATTTAGTAGATGCATGCAAAAAGCTGGCATGGGCAGAGTTATTGCCCTTTAACAGATTTTTAAAGCAAGATACTGTGAAGATCATTTTCTTTGAGAAAATGCTCTTGTATATTTCAATTTCAAAATCATGTTAATTTTATAACGTGTCCTATAGAAATTTCTTGAAGGAAATACCTTAAATAAGATTTCTCATGGGGTTTTTTTTGTCAGATTTGTGATGAGGTGAATGCCTACATGTTAGCAGATATGGCCCACGTATCAGGGCTGGTGGCGGCCAATGTTATTCCTAGTCCTTTTGATTATGCTGATGTTGTAACATCTACAACTCACAAAACGCTGAGGGGACCAAGGTATAGCTATCTATTCACTAGAGTACAAAATCATGCAGTGAATTGAAGTGCACAATTTATGTGCATATATCTTTTTGGACAAATTTGTCAATGAGATGCAGGGAAAAAAATAGGCAAAAATAATGAATTATATCATTTACTTGAGAAATAAAGACCCTATATATTTGTTAAACTTCTTGATCAGTTTAATGTGATTTACATTTGAAATAATCTATCGGCCATTCTACAGGTCTGGGATGATATTTTATCGCAAAGGCAAAAAAGGTGTGGACAAGAAAGGAAATGACATCATGTATGACTTGGAGAAGAAGATCAACAATGCTGTGTTCCCTGCTCTACAGGGAGGGCCCCACGAGCACCAGATAGGGGCACTGGCTGTGGCCCTCAAACAGGTAGACAGAACATATATCATACAAGTTTTATATCACCAGAAATGTTTAAAATCACATACTATGAAGTCACCAGTTTTGTTGGGGGTTAATTTTTGTTGTTTTCAAGGTATTAAGACACCAATGAATTAATGTTCACTATAAAATGTCAAATTTTATATAACTTCTCGATGCTTCCACAAATACAAAATCAAATCCCCCAAACCAATTTTTTGCTTCTACATAAAAAAATTTGACCCTACAGTGTCTGACACTAATTTCATATTAGATTGCATCCTGTATAATCTAAAATTTTAAATCTAAAATAAATTGCAATGTTTTGTCAATCTTTCACTTCTAAACTGTTGTCCTCTTTTGGATTGAGCAACTTTAACATGTTTATAAAATGATTGTAGGCAAAGTCCCCAGAATTCAGAGAATATCAACAACAGGTCTTAAAGAATGCCAAAGTGATGGCTAAAGCCCTGCTTGACAAAGGATATAATGTTGTGTCTGGTTTGTATACTGTAAAAGCACAAATATTCGTGGAGGATTAAATTTCGTTTATTTCGTTGTTAACAATTATCAACGAAAATAAAGCCCACGTGAAATTTAATATGACTACATATTGAATAGACTTACTCTCAAAACAATGAATTTAAATGCCCATGAAACTATTTTTGATGACAAATCAACGAAATTTTATCCCCACGAAAATTTGTGCTTCTACAGTAGTTTCATTCATTAAAATTTATTTTTACTGGGCATAACTTTGGGTAAAATTAAGGAGCATAGGGCCACAAAATATATTCAGGTCTGTGTTCTTTTTTGAACACTGATGATACATTTTCTGACAACAGTTCTAATGTGATTTAAACAGGGGGTACTGATAACCA